CGCTCGTAGAGCTTCCCCAGGCAACTGAGGAGGCTGATGGGACGATAGCTAGAGGGCTGATTGGCTGGTTTATTCGGCTTGCGAATGCCGATAACCGTGGCTTGCTTCCAGTCGTCCGGAAAGGAGCAACTGGAGAGAAGGGTATTGAAAATGGTCGCCAGTAAACAGATAAGCGGCCCTGGGAGAACTTTGAGAATCTTATTACTTATATTATCTGGGCCCGGGGCGGATTTTGGTTTTAAATTTTTAATAATATCTTGGACCTCTTCGGGGGTCACTGAATTTAAAGGTTCGCCTTCCGGTGGAAGCGCAGCCCTAGTCTCGATTACGCGGTCCACCTCCGTTAGGTGGATGGAATCGGTGTGTTCGCGCGATGGCGTACATTGCTGCTCTAAGTTGTCCGCAAGGCATTCGGCTTTTTCGGAGTCATTTAGGGCTACTGAAGCGCTATTAGGTCTAACTAACGGCGGTAGAGATTCGCGGGGATCTGCTTTTAGACTGCGGGCCAACCGCCAGTAGGCGGTGTGCGATGGCTCGATGTCCTCTAGGAGAGTGTCCCACGTTGTGTGTCGGTGTTCCGATACTCGATCTTTGACTTCTAGCTGAAGGCGTCGAAGTAGGGTTCGGTTCGATTCCGATCGGTATCGGTCGAAGGCGCGTTTGGCTGCATTTTTCTGTCTAATTAGCAGTCGTAGGTCGGACGGAAAGTTAAACCGTCGGTCGCCCGACAGTTTTACCGTCCGTTCCGAGTCTGTGACTGCGGAAGTAATAGTTTCGCGGAGACTCGCTATCGCTCGATTTGCGTCATCGAACGTAGCTATCGTCTCGGGTAAGTCTACTAAGTCCTGGGGGTCCAAGGCCTTGAGTTTGACCTCAAGACGATCCCAGTCCACTACGGATTTGGTCGGAGGGACCGCGCCGGCGTTCTGGCCCAGTTTACACAGGACGGGCCTGTGGTCTGAGTCTAGTTCATGGATTGTCTCTATCGACTCGATGTCGAGCGAGACCTCCCTGAATAACATTATGTCTAGGACACTCGGTGACGCGTGCTGGTAGTTGTCCACCGTAGGATACCTAGTGGGAGTCGCGGGAGCGACTATACTGAAATTTAGGTTATCGGATAAGCTAAAGAGATGCTTTCCGTTGTTGTTTGGGATGCTGTTGTTGTCCCATGAGCCGTGTTTGCAGTTTAGATCTCCTGCAATTATCACGGAAGGGCCTAAGTTAAGAAGCGTATCTAGGTCGCTTTGAAGGAGGGTTCTATTCCCCGAGAGGTAGGCTGAGACTAGTACAAGCGGCCTGTGGCCGGTGAGCGCTAACCTACACGCGGATGCCTCTATTTGACTTAGCTCTGGAATGTCGAGCGGGCAACAGTGCAAGGACCGTTTATAATAAATTAGTGTGCCTCCCAGACGGTTTGCTAACCGATCGTGGCGGACAATATTGTAATTTGCGATTCTGGGATCGCGTACACTGGTTTCAAGAATGTCTCTTGCACTAGGAAAATATCTACGTTATAATCGCGAAGGAATTCCGCGATTTCATCCCTTTGACCCTTTATGCCGTTTGCGTTGAAATACGAAACAACCAGAGCCCGAGGTTTTGTTCTACCTGTGGTTGTACTTCCCCTTAAGGTGTTTTTATGGGTCTAATTAACGACGCGGCGGAGCGCGGTTTTATTGCGCGGACTATTGTTTTTTACGGTTGGCTCGTAAAAGCCCAAAGGGCTTCCACAAGCGTTTTGTGTTGGCTAATTGCCCTAAGACGCTCGTGGCCAGATGTGGCGGCCGCTATTTTAGCGGACAATACGGCGAGTTCCTGCCTATTGATTCTATCTAGTAAGCTGCAAATATTAGCAATTTGCGCGAATGGGTCGTCCTTGTTTTCCGCGAAAACTGACGGAGTTGGCTGCACCTGCAAACGCGGCGCCGTTTCAGAGGCGGGCAGCTGTTGTGCGATCGGTCGTGAGGCGACCGGGATTACCGGCGCGGTTACCTGCGCGGCCACCTGGGGTTTCGCCCAGGCGTTTATGACGGGTATGGGCGCGGGAATGAATTTAACGGACGCGGGTTTGGGCAACGTGGATTTCGCGGGAGATTTCCTCGCGGGAGTTTTCGGGGCCTTAGCGCAGCCTCTGTAGCTAGTCGGCTGGCCGGTGGCGTTACAGTTTACGCAGTCCGGTGGATCTGCGGAATCTTTCGGTCGCGTGCACTCGGTAGTGCCGTGTTCACCGGTGCATTTGACGCACCTTGGGTGAGCGAAGCAGTTATTGGCCGTGTGGCCAAAATGCTGACAGTAGTGGCACTGTGCCACAACACCTGACTTACGCGGGGGCTCGATGATTTAGTCACTGAGCCCACAGACTCTCTCCAGGTTGAAGATGGCCTTACCTTCCGGGGTAGGGTCAAGTTCAACCATAACCATGTCCATAGGGACACGGGTGCGAGGGTGTCTGAGCCGACGTACGGCGTGCACAGGGTATCCCTGCGTGCGGATGTCGACCTTAGCCCTATCGACATCCGACTCTTTTTCGGGACGCCCTTAATTACAACCCGAAGTTTACGCTCCTCGGGTAGTGAGTAGGTGTGGAAACCTACTTTAGCTTCGCGCAAGTACTTAGTTACGCGGCGGAAATCGTCCGTAGAATCGAGGTATACGCGGATACCCATATTTTATTCTTGGACCGGGGGTCTCGTATGTTATGGCGTTCGAACCATGAACATATCTGATGCCACTTTGCCTTCTCTTGAATTATAATTGGCGGCGGTGGCTTGATTTTTCGCTCGGAGGCGAATTTTGGTTCCGACTGGGCAGTCGCGGCTGCCTTTTTGGCGGGCGTCGCGGTGGGACGGTTTGACGGGGTGGCCTCGCTTTCGAGGTCGCTGTCGGTAGCGGGGCGTTTCTTGCCCTTTTTGCGCGATTTGACGACGGTGAAGCCGTCGGCGTTCGCGTTGTTAGCGGGGGTCGTTTCGACCTCCATGTCTGAGCCGCCGTCCGATTGTGAGTCGGGAACGACAGCGCGGAAGGGGCCCGAAATTGATAGCGCGGAAGGCGCGTTAGGTTCGATCGCGGCGGCGGAGGTCGACGCGACGGGCGTTTCGATTGTCGCAGAGGGCGACACAATAGCTGGCGCAGAGGGCACCGGAGATGGCGGCGAGGCAGCAGCCGGTGAAGCCGGACTGTCGCTAGAGAATTCGACGACAAGGCGCCGTTCCCTCGCGAAGCTTAAATATTTTGCCCATACTTCGGGGCATTCCTGCCGAAGGAACTCCTCTAAGAGGGAACCCATGACGACGCTTGTGCCTTTGGGGCTTGCGCCCCGCCGGCGTGCGGTTTCTAAATAGGCTTCCCCACCTTGCGGCAGGGAGGTGTGTGCCTAAAATTAACGTTTAATCGCCTGCGCTTTAGGTGCGCTAGGGTGAGTACCTAGCTGTCGCCTAATGCAACAAGCACACAGATAAAAATTACAATGCCGCCTCTGAGACGAGAAATGTGTGTAGATTCTACTTACGGACAGGAACCTGCCTACGAGCACAACACTACACTAACACTATCCGCTCGGAAGTCGGGCAAAGTTTCTTCGTTCTTCTGTAATGTTTTTTCTTTCTTCTATAATTTTTCGTCTATCTTCTTGCTTGAGACTTCCCTAACTGTAGACCGCGAAACACGACAACGATGAGGAGAACAGTGCACACCAAGAAAGATAATAAATATATCAGCAACAACGGTTGCAAGATGGCTTCCGGGTCGGCTGGCATGGGCCCTCCGGCTCAGAGTAACGTCCGTTCCGTGTGGAAGCACGAAGCGGAATCTCAAAATGAGGAATGCGTCCGGTAGACCGTAGCGTGTATGGGAACAGACCTGTGCAGTTTATTGAACTTGCGCAGGCGACCGAACTGCGCAAGGTCTCAATTCTTTATTTAACCTGCGCAGGCAAACCTACATAGATAACCTCTCCGGTAGACTGTAGCGTGTGTGAATTTATTTATTTATGTACACTATCTACACTAATATTAAAAACAGGAAAGATTTGTATTTTTGTATGTAACAAATAAACTGAAAATGTACTGGACCGATTCCAAAAATGTTTTCGCCATTAGAAAGCTACGACTTTATCAAGTAGCATCGGCTATATAACTTACATTTTCAAAAATATAGAGATCCCTACCTAAAATGTAACACAGGATATCAGAATGTTTACCTATAAAAGACATTATTTTGCATGCGTTGCCAAAAAACGATAATTAAAATAAACGAAAAAAACATTAACTATTAATTAATAATATTAAATATTAACGATAAATAAAATAATGTTCTATATATTAGAGGAAAGTCACCAAATATGGAATAGTATCCTAATATGGAATAAAGCAATTTCTCTAAGAATATAAGTATGAAACGAAACACATGACCATCTTCTGTTTCATTCGGTCTATTTACTACCTCACTCACACCATCGTGTTAGTTGCGCGAACGCTACAAGTGTGGCTGGTGTTTTTTTGTTTTGTTATCACGCAGAAAATTTTAAAGGTAAGTAATAATTGAGTATTACCAGTTATTACGTATGTATACATAGGTGTTTTTACTATTTAGTATATCGATATTATGTTTATTTCAACGTTTTGTGATATTCTGTCATTAAAATATTGTGATTTGAAAAAATATTTAGATGATTTTAAACAAGTATAAAAATCCAAATATGGACAGTCGTCGGTGTCTAATTATGAAATATTCCATAATTAGGTCTTTATATTTCACATGTTAGGTACTTGCTACTATTTCTTTAAAAAAAATATGTTATGTTTGTTTTTAGAATGTCTGCTTCACAATCAACCAAGAAACGAAAAACCTAGGATGAAGCAAAAATGGCAGAAGCTAAAAAATTCGTCCGGGGAAATAAAATGGGATATTTGAAAGCAGCACAGCATTTTGAAAGAAAAGCTGCTATAGCAACAGTCATAACATCTTCACCCTACAAAAATTATTTAGTAAATAAAAATATGAAGAGACAAGAAAAAGAAAGTAAGACAAAGAATAAGAAGAAAACTGCGAAGAGAAACAAACAAACGAAGAAAAATAGAAATGATCGTGAAGAAGAAGACTCTGAGGAACGGGACGTCACCCAGTTTGATGAAGACAGTGAAGATGATGAGTTGATGGACCATGTATCTCCTGACTCTGCTGATGCAGAATGTATGTTCTGTTCAAACCTTTTCTCCATGGATAAAAGTGGAGAAAGCTGGATTAAATGCTTGATGTGTGGACTCTGGGCACATTATGATTGTGCTGGTCCAGAGTTTGATACTTGGATCTGTGACTTTTGCAAGTGAATTTAGTAACTTCGTTCGTTTATAACAATATGTTATTTTAATTTATTTGATCTCATAGATATTTATGTCTATTTTTGTTATTGAAATGATGATTTATGCTTATATTCCATATATGGGTACCTATTCCATATTTGGTTACTCATTTGTGATTTTGGTTTTGTGTTAGATTTTAATTTGGTAACTAATATATTTGATTAAAGGCTGTTAATTACTAAATATAAATGTCTGACTGATTAGTAATTACATTAAACTGTTTTAGTTTCTATGAAGTTTTTTTTTTTTATATCCCTGAAACAAAATGGTATTCCATATTGGGTGACTTTCCTCTAATAGTTCTCATGATTACTAACAAAAAAGTCCGTCATAGTGTCAAAAATAGTTTTTGTTTAAATTATTACGTTGAAATACGAGTGGAAAGAGCCGCGTGATAGCTCAGTGTCCGGGCGCTCGCCTTTAATTTAATACACTCGAGCAACCTGAGTTCGATCCCCGGTGCCGGCACCAATGAAGTTTTTAACTTTAAGTGCTGACTTACCACGTGCTCCGCGGTGAAGGAAAACATCGTGAGGAAACCTGCATATTTTCGAAATAATAAAAAAAATATTTCGAAGATATGTGAAGTCCGCCAATCCGCAGTGGGGCCGCGTGGTGGACTATGCCCTGATACCCTCTGTATAGAGGAGGCCTTTGCCCAACAGTGGGACATGTATAGGTTGTTACTTTCCTTTACTTACGAGTGGAATCGAATAGTGGGGTAATTAGTATCATGGTATTAATACTTATCCATTTTGATGGTTTGACAATGTAATAAAAAATAGTTTTTAAAGTTTAGACTTTAATTTATATATGTCCTATTCATTAAAACGTCTTTTAAGCGTGTCAAACGTTCGATTAAAATCTTTATTCATAATCATTTGATAAACCTCCGATAACTAAAATATCTTTATGTGTAATGTTGCCATTTTATACCAAAATTATGTGAATGATAAAAGAATAGTTTCATGAGTTTTAATCTATGGATCGCTATAAATTAAAACAAATAGTATCTTGACTTGTGTCAAACACATTGATCGTGATTCGTGTCAACTTTCCTGTTGTTATTTATTAGTAGTCTTTGGCCTTAACAAAATAAATAAATTATTCTAATGTTAAAATGAACATGAATGCTAAAAAGGCAGAGTAGTGAAAATTGGCTACAGGAAGATAAAGTTGGTGTTACAATTTTGTTATATTCGCAATTCTAAAACTTCCACTGTAATTTTGATTCAAGCATTACCTACAAAAATTTACTGTTTTTGCTTTCGTAGATCGAAAGATTGATTTGGTGAAGGGGGAAGTTCTTGTTATCTAAAATCAAGGAAAAAATACCGACACGATCTCCAATGCAGCGAAGGTGGCGGCGTGGAACGATTTAAAAGAAAACATTACAAACGTCAGTAATCAGCTGACCAAAATCGTCCATTTTTTTCAATAATATACGTTTATCAAAGGTATATAGTAGGGTCCTAGCTTGTTTATATCAAAGACACTTTATTGAAAGGTTATAAAACGTTTAAATAAGACTTTTTGACAATCTGTTTTTAGCGAGCTTTTAAACCTCCGATAACTTATTATCAATAAGACCGCGTATGTATAAAATACTAGCTGACCCGACAGACGTTGTCTTAACGATGACTATTTAATTCGAATTGGTATAATTAATAAAAAGTGTGTTTATTATTCTAATGCTTTATGATATACAATATTCTGGGTTTTTTTTTTTCACGTATATAAATAGTTTTGTTGGTATGGGGACAGACACGGGAACAGGCGACATAAATGATAAAAATGGATGTTCAAGATTGATGCCACAAAGTCAGTATTAGTTAGTATTCTTAAATTTTCTAATTTTTAGGCGCAATTTTTTAAATATTTTCTTTCATAAGAACCTTCTCCTGATAATTAACAAACACACAACAAAAGTGAAATCGGTGATTCACTTTTATATATATAGATATCATTGCATGGCATAAGTCATTAAACAATTGCGCTCTAATGTCAGCACTCACCCCCCCTCGCACCACTCCAGTATGCTCGGCTTTGCTCGGCGGTCGTGCGCCCTCCCGCACCCCCCCCCCTCCCCCCTTACCCATCCCTTACCTAGGTGTCGTCTTTGACTCCAAACTTGGATTCAGCCAGCACTTGAATCGGGTCAAGAACCGGGCGACCTTTGTACTCGGTCGTCTCTATCCGCTCGAACAAGGTGACTTTATACGGCGTGTCGTTACCATCGCGACAATAAATGAACACACGTCTAACGCTACTTGCGCATAATCATAAAAAAATGTTAACGTTAAACAAAATCCATAATTAAAAAAAATATTTTTCAAACAAACTAATTAAGTAAAAAAGAAACAAATTTGTAACATCCTGTACAACTCGCGCCACAGCGTCCTATTACAAGCCTCTCCTTCTAACAGTATGTTTTGCCTCTTTTAAATTCATTAAACCCATTCATATGCTTGGTGACCTTTACAAATAAACTTTACGTTACAGTTTTATAGGTAAGAGTGTTCTACAATTATTCGTTTTGGAAATTTAATAACTCTGTAAATATTGATGTTTAAAGAATGTAAATGATTAATACAATTTTAAAAAGTTATTCCCTATATGTGTGTGCATTTATTGTCGCGATTGTAAAGACACGCTGTATACGGCAGTTCGACGTTTAACCATTTGGGTACGGAAACTCAATAATATTCTGTGGAAAAATTATCTCGACCTTCTTTTGTAATGTTTATTGATAGTCGGAAATCATATCAATCCATCATCAAATTTATCAATATTCAAATTTATCAATATTCAAATTACGTCGGCATTTTTCATGGCAGCCTGGCATATATATATATATATATTGTCCGTGACACATGATGAGGTCAAAAATTTGGGGCGTATTTCACCGCAGCTCTCAAAAATTGTACAATTTTTTTTTACCGAAATACAAAACTTAAGACAGAAAAAGGCCCAAAGGCAGGAATACATGTACACATAACAGAATATTTATGTTTAAGTCATTTATTTATATAATAATTATATACAATAATAATTTATTTACAATTTGGTTTATTCCATTCAATAAATTAAAAAAAAAAATTGAGTGCATTATGTATGCACGTTGCCTGCCTCTACACATAATGTTTTAAAGAACTAGTGTACTTCTTTAGCGTAGCTTAACAAAATAATTAAAATTGTACCAGTACTCTGTTGGTGAAAACGACATAATTTTTTTTTATGAAAAGTTGCCAAGCTAATAGACGGTTCACCTGATGTTAAGTGAACACCACTGCCCATGAACATCTTGTACACCTGAGGGTTGCAGATGCGTTGACAACCATTTGAAAATTGGGCTCCGGATACCTCACTAACCAGACGAAACGCGAAAGTATTATACTTCCACTTACGGTCTTCTATGAGGTCGTGGTACTTCCCCGGACGAGCCTGCCCATTCGTGCAACAGCCGAGGCTGCTGCATCGCCCTACCACCGTAAATTTATAATGGTATAATTAGATAACTTGGAATAATAGGTAAATGTAAAAAATAATATTGGTTGCCATGGTAATAAAACAGAAATATCCGCTTTGCTAATATCCTTTCACTATTATTCAAATTCAATATAATTTTTATTTTTATAAACCGGCAAGAAACTAAATAGTTGCTCTTTTTTTAAAACGATTAGTTGATGTAATAGGACAGGTATAAGTATCTTATTTTAGCCTACGTGAGTATCAACAGTATCAACCCCACCTGTATTAATACACATTGGCGTCGTCAAGATATTCCGCAATGGTATAATATGCCTTAGCCATAAGTTCACTTTTAATTTTGCGTTTACATTGATCAAGTGGCAGATTGTGGGATTTTATTATACATGCATATTTTATTATAATAACGACTGTGGGATTATATTATACATGCGCACACTTTGCCCCATGAACGACCTATTTAATTTTTGTAGACGAAACAATGACGTAGTTAATTAGTCCTTATTCTAGTATTTAATTTATGTAACAATTAAGATTATGTCTAACTTACAAAATATTACAATAAATATATTGGGACGCAAGAGCGAGTACATAAATCTCTTTAAAAAGATCTCCGAGTGTATTCCGGGCTCCGATGTTATAGATTGAATCTACTTGTTAAACAAGAAAATCATCACCGAATCGGATGGCATTAATAAAATGCCGGAGCTCTGGTAAAACTTCTCAGTTATATCCTTACTTTTATTAGACGCGGTGCCTTACATAAAAACAAAGCCGAGTTAAACTTTAATTGTAACGTACGCCGATAATTTCCAAATTACAAGTGATTGGTGCAAAAAATAGAAATTACTTAAAAAATGGTTGTGTAGACAGACAATCAAAAACGATACGATGTTTCGTCTGAACGCAGTGATCATAAGGTACGATTTAAAAAATATATTTAGTTTTCTCTTAATAATATGCGATGTGTAATAAATAAAACATACACTTATTTGGCGTTTAAAATTGAAAATATTTAATATTATCAATTACAACGTATAAAAAAACTAGGTTGTTTTGTATTCTTTTATAATAGGTTGGGGAAAAAGTTTCTTCGCATTTCATATGAAAATTCAAAACATTTTTTAATAAACTTTATTTACATTGAACTAAAGTATATAGGTGCCATTTTGTTCGATACTTTCTGCCATCTTGTAGGACATGATCCATTGCTAAAGAAATTCTGGGGCTTCTGATAAAAAAAACCGCGACAAGTGGTTTTGACAGTCCTCATGTAATGTTGACCTGACACTGCCTAAAGAATTCTGACGAAACCGAAACAAGTAGAAATCTAAAGGTAAAAGGTCAGGACTATACGGCGAATGCATTAACACCTCCCAGTCAAACTCTCTTAATTTTTGCTGAGTGGCTAAATATGTGTGAGGTCTAACGTTATCATGAAGAAAAACCATACCCCTTCTGTTGATTAATTTCGGCAGCTTTCTCTCAACCTCTTGCTTTAATCTCATCAGTTGTTCGCAGCAGAGTTCAGAATCAGTCCTGCCTGGCGGTAACAGCTCATAATGAATAATGCCCTTCCAATCCCACCATTACACAGCATTACCTTGTTGCGAGATAACCCATTTTTGCCAGAGTCTGCGAAGCCTGACTAGCCTTTGACCACGACCTTTTTCGCACGTTCTTGTCGTACGTGATCCACTTTTCATCACCAGTTATCAGGTTTTTCAAAAATGGTTCGGTTTCATTACGTCGTAATAAAGAATCAGAAAAGAGTACACGGTTCCTTAGGTTTCTTTCAGTGAGCTCATGAGGCACCTAAATATCGAGCTTTTTTGTGTATCCAGCTTTATTCAAATGCGGCAAAACTGTTTTGTGCTCAATTCCCAGTTCTTCAGCTACATCGAAAGTACTGATATGCCGATCTTGGTCCACTTTATCAAAAATGGCATTTTCAAAAATGGCAAAACCATAGCTATTACTATGGGTTCAAAGAAACTGATAAACATACTTTTCGTTAATAATAAATAATTCATATTATAGATATATACACCCAGTACATAAAAATCACAAAAACACGTATGTTCATTATTACATCACACAATATTTCCTAAATAATATTTTTTTAACTAATCCTTGTTCTTCCCTTATTCCAAAATATCATTTGGCTAAGGCGCCGAGGGTCGTGGGTTCGATTACCACACGGTACCAGCTATTTATGCGACACAGATAAATGCTTCGGATCTATCCACGTGAAATTTATCGATTGTTACACGACCTTACACAGGATTATGGGAGAAGCAATATGTTTTTTTTTATTATTTTACCCCCGCCTTAACGTTAACCTTTAATGTTTTCCCTTGCGCTTTGTTAATGATTAATCATAGAGATGCAGACTTAAATCGGAATACAAGATCTGTGGGAATTTTAGGGATTTGTGTGATCATTATATTCTCACCCTTTCCAACGCCGGTTAAGATGGTGACACTAATTCAGGTGGCTCCGTGGCGCAGTGGCAAAGGTATTGGCTTCGGTGTCCGGGTCGTGGTTTCGATTCCCACGCGCGACAACTTTTTGTGTGATCCACAGATAGTTGTTTCGCATCTGGGTGTTTGTCCGCGTGAAATTTATGTTTGTAAAACGTCCTTACAACACAGGATAAAGATATCCTAAAGTAAGAGCAATGTTTAAATTAAATAAATAAAGTGGTGCTTGAATAAAGAAAAAAAATATGTTCCATGAAGTCTCGTTGCGTTACATAATCGAGGGGCATCTAAATTTCGCATAAGCATGACTGCATAATCACGCTCACGATTTCAATTTAGCCCCGTATATTATCTTAACATTTCAACCTATCATTGGAGCAGAAAATTTTCTGTTTGTTATCCCTAATAAAATAAAATAAAACGAAACCAAACGGAACTAAACTAAACTAAATTACTAAACGAAACGAAACGAAACAAAGCGAAACAAAATTAAATTAAATAAGGGACCTGCTAGTTGTGAAGCGGACCTAAATTTTTTGAGTTCCGCATTACAAATTTTAGCACAAATTCGTTGCATTGATATTATTTTAATACTTTTGTTGGAATCAATATTTCAACTATAAATTCATATCAGTCCATAGATCCTTTACGAAGTCAAGGAAGGGCTATTACTATTATTCGAGGATTGAAATACGCATTACAATATATATATATGCACTTTCGCGTATCCTCCACTGGTTTACCGTTAATAATATGGTGTTAAATGCTACAAAAAAAAATGCCTTCTTTTTATCCTTCCCAGCGTAAGAGGGCAAAGTTTTAGCTTAACATTAAATAGCGTAACCCTTAATCCTGTTGAGTCCGCTGTATTCTTGGGAATTACAGTGGATTCAAAGCTCCAATGGAGTCCCCATCTATCATCTCTTGCGAACTGATTAAGCTCGGCTGTTTTTGCAATTAGGAAGGTTAGGCAGCTATCAGACATCGACACTGCCAGACTTGTTTATTTCAGTTATTTCCACAGCATCTTGTCTTACGGCATTTTGTTGTGGGACAGTGCATCTGATATAAATTCTATATTTATTTTTCAAAAAAGAGCTGTCCGAGCAATCTATAACATTGGAGCCCGGAATACACTTAGAGACCTTTTTAAAGAGATTAATATACTCACTGTTGCGTCTCAATATATTTACTGTAATATTTTGTATGTTAAACATAATATTAATAATTATCTAAAGAATAGTGACAGACATAAACTAAACACTAGAAATAAGGACAAACTAACTACGCCATTGTTTCTTCTACAAAAAGTAAACAGGTCGTTCATGGGCCAAAGTGTGCGCATGTATAATAAAATCCCACAGTCGATATTAAGTCTGCCACTTGACGAATTTAAACGAAAAATTAAAAGTAAACTTATGGCTAAAGCCTATTATTCTATTGCCGAATATCTTGACGACGGCAATGTGTGGGGTTAATACTGTTGATACTCACGTAGGCTAAAACAAGACTATTGTACCTGTACTATTATATTGTAAGCCGATTTTTTTAAAAAGAGCAACTGTTGAGTTTCTTGCCGGTTTCTTCTCAACAGAAACTGCTTTCCGAACCGATGGTAACTTTCGAACGTGTTAATTTCTTGTAAAATTTTGACGTTTCATAAGAACGCGCAAGCGTCTATGTGAATAAAGATATTTTATTATTATTATTATTAATATGGGACCACATGGGAAGCACCAGTTTTCAAATAAAAAAAAGAATTAAAATATGTAGAAAGAGTACGAAAAGATTGTCGCCGCTGTGGGAATCGAACTCACGTCTTCGGCATTCGCGGCCTGACGCTTTCACCACTAAGCTAAACGGCTGATTGCCACACCGACGAAAATCTTAACGTGTTTTATATAAGTACATTGGTTTTTAGCATTTGAAGCAATGCTTGGCGCATCCATTGTTATATCCTTTCCAGCATACAAACATTTTCGAAGATCGTTTTACAACGATAATTCGAACGAGAGATGTCGCATCATTAAAAAATTTTACATATTTTATTGATAAATCTTAAGTGCAAAGATTAGCACTATAAACAATTTAAATTTCAAAAAAAAAAAAGAATCATCAAAATCGAATCACTCAGTTGAAAGGTCTGAGGTAACAAACATAAAAAAAAATCACAGTCGAATTTAGAACCAATATCAATTTCCAACCGGCTTCAAAAGAATTTTTGAAATCGGTTGAAAATCGCGCTCACTGTGTCCTAATGTGTGTATGGCTGTAATGCATCATAAGAAAAAAACACACCCATGTTAAAAAACAAACGCACAGTTATATGAGATGGATCATGCATACACAGCCAGTTCCCACGTGATTTCTTATGTTTTTTTCTTTCAAACTGTTACGGTTTCGACCGCCTGGTGAAAGGGAATTAACGAGGAGTTCTTTCTCATACATGCCACATTTCGTCGCAAGGATAATTAAGTAACAGCTACACAATTATAAGACACTATGAGGAATCCGAGATAAGGTTGACCGCAGACAAGTGTACGTACACTGACATACTGAGGATTTAAGTTCCCATGTGAACTGGCTGTGAATGCAGGTTCCACTAGATGTTCACAAGCGCATTTATTGAGGCTAGCTTAAATCCTCAGTATGATAGTAACAGTTTGAAAGAAAAAACATAGGAAATCCCATGGCGTCTACCGACAGAAATGAAAACACAAACCGGTAACAAAATTAAAATTTTATAACATTTAATTCTACATATTTTATAGGTAATAACAGTGTTCATATCAAATTCCTAACGACAAATGTAAAAATAAAAAACATAATACGTATTCCTTTTTTAATAAATCGTTATATTTAAGTCTATACTTATTAAGTAAGTTTATTGACCATCCACTATTCATTACTTTATTTTTCTTCGTCCTAAGGTTGTCTGGAAGAGATCGCTTATTAGCAATAAGACCGCCTTATTGTACCTAGCTTTTAAGACTTATTTTATGCTAAGTGTATTAAATTCTTTGTGGTGTACAATACAGTGTAGGATAATAATAATGATAATAACCATTTTTTTACTAACGAAAAACAAAACCGACTTTAAATATCTCGCTAACATAATTAATTCCCTTAAGTATCTCCGGAGCCCAAGATTCAATACCAATGAAATCAATATGGGACCACATGGGATGCACTAGCTTTCAAATAAAAAAAGAATCAACGAAATCATAACGCGCGTTCCATGATTTTTGTTCATCCAAGAAGTGCTCGACGTGCCTAAAGAAGTTTTCACTTCAAAAATTATACATAATAAAAATTCCACCGGCAACTTAATATATTGGTCATTAAGAGATAAGACTGAAGAGTCTTATCTCTTAATGACCAATTCGTGATGCTAAAATATAAGATTTAGATAAGAAGGAAAGTCGTAAATTACAAAAGATAACATACAAATATTCAGTTTTAGCGTTGGTCATGCAGACTTCAGCGTTAAGTTGCGTTAAGCTACTCATAAATACGGCAATCGTCCAGCATCTGCTAAAAGGTCGCAGAGTAGAACCGGTCTTAAGCATTCCCGCAAATCGGTACGACGAACCACTGTGAGAAATTATACCAATAAAAGTCGTCGTTTCAAACTATGCGGCGTGCAATTAAAACGTATAGATTATATCTGCGGTCCGTTAGTAAAGGCCTCCTTGATCCAGTGACCCCAAATACAGTGGCTTGTTCATATATGCGCGTTAATATATCGAGGGGATAGACCAGTTTAACTAAAATAACCCCCCGAACACTATTCCCATTAAGTTCGTGATGAAATGATTGATTGGAAACGTTTTACCTGAAATTAAACGCATATTAAAACATCACTGGTAATTTACGTTTGAGATACCGTATCCATTTCCGCCGATTTGCACCAGTTTTAAGTTTATTTATTTATTTATTAGGTCTGCCAGTAGATGTTACATTAAAAACAATATTACATGAAACATGAATTAATGTTACAACTAAATGTACATCTAATTAAGAGGCAAACACAGCATGCTTAATAATTAAAACAAAAAAATAATAAAAGTTCTTACATTTACAGCCCTTACTCTGTACCCACTGTTGTCACCAGTTTGCGCTCCATTTTTTATTTCTTAAAAAACAAGGTTCAGTTTTAATACACGATCTATATCTTTGTAGTAAGGTAAATATATAATAAGTCTTCAACTCAGAGAACTATTTGCTTTCTCCTTATGGCGTCTTTTATTAGTAATAAAAGTAAAGTGAAACGCTAATGCGAGAGAATGACAAAATCACAATTAAGTATGTATTATTTCTATAACACGTAAATAAAATAAGTATTATTAGTTTAATTGATGCATGTCGTTGTCAAGCGTCGTAAAACTCGTATCGATTGCAAAGTTGAATAAAATTTTTGAATTTGAAAAAATTTAGTCACAGATCTGACACAGAGCACTCCAACTTTATGTGGTCTATAAAAAGACGCAGCCAGAACCTTGCGTCGGAGGTCCTGAGCAAGCCCGCGAGGTCCGTAGCGGAGCAAAGGCCGAGAGGGTGAAGCGACCCTCAGGGGTGATATTGCGAGAATTCTGACGTAGCGCATGGAAGAAATTTAATAATGAAGTAATAAGCGTATATATAATAAGACATGTTGTCAACAGCAACATGACAATTTTCTTTAGTTATAACATCATCCATGGTCATGACTTGGTCATGACAGACCAGAAAGAGTTCTGCGGTCAGCCAGAGAACTTATTCTCGCCCCGCATACTTTCTGGACCAACTATATTAAAAATTATTTTACAGTCAAAGCTATATGCTTATGGAACGCGCTTCCTCCACAAATGCAGCGCCCAAAAACGTTAAGAAAGTTTAAAACCAATGTTAAAAATTACTATCTTTCAATGTGACACTGATTGTCACTGACGGCATTTGTATATTTATTTTATATTTTTCTCTCCCCGTATATATTTATGTAAGGTATTGTACAGTATATGTTTAGTTTTTATGTATGTCTATTGTATATAATTAATTGGTATATATTAGTATATTATTATTTTACAAAATATAATATATTCGTTCAGTTTATTTAGATCTTCGTATGTAAGTTTATCATTTGCACCACCTACCGTTGTCCAAAATATTGTAATTTTAGCCACAAGGTTGTCTGGAAGAGATCGCTTTTTAGCGATAAGACCGCCTTATTGTTACTACCCTATAAGTTATTTTTATAACATTTCTCATATATATTTATGGTGTTCAATAAAGCATATAATAATAATAATAATAATAATCATCCAAGTATCCGTACCGTGGCACCACCCTAGGGAGATATCCTTTCCGACAAAACAAGAATTATCAAAATTGGTTCATAACCGACTAAGTTAACCGCGAACACACATAAAAAAATGTATACGGTCGAATTGAGAAATCCTTTTTTGAAGTCGGTTAAAATAACAAATTTCATAATTTTTTTTTCTCGAAAACTGTAGGTACCTAAATGACCCAAGAACTCATCTTGTTAATACATAAGTAATTTTTCTTTAACTTTTAAATTTTATTCAATTGCAACATCAACTTGCAAATTTGCTGAACACTAACCAATAACATTGTAATAATCATATCGTATACAAAGACGCATTTTTAAAAATTAATAATTGTTCACTGACCATAACCAAAAGTCCGACAATGTTATCCCACACTGAAGAAGAAATTGAGCTATACACATTATTATATTATTGTAAATCAATATCTATCTAAATTCTTTTAAAATATTTTTTTTATTTTTAGCGCTAGATGAAACTATTAATTGGAATTTTGTGGATAAATCAACAATGAACAAAACCAACGTTTTCTGGTTAGCGTTCAGATAAACTAAGCTAAGCGGCCGATGACCTCACGAAGATAAAATTTGTGGAGAATACGGAGGAAACATCTTTCTCCGCTGCGAGAATTGAACCAACGTCTTCCGGATTCGCAACGTTTGGTTCGCATTTTGACGACTAAGCTAGATGCTCGTTATTCACACATGAAATGACAAAGCCGAGATAACATTTATAAGTCACGACAAAGGACGATATCGTGAGATTGGGCGTAAACATACGCAGCCGCTATTTATTTGTACTGTTCGATTTACTTTACGTAACGTTAACTATCATAGTGGTACCGTTGACTTTTGTTGTAAAAAGAGGTTTAACTATTTTACGTTAGTCACGATTCAAAAGTGATAAGTGACGTGTATGTCGCCGTATGTTCCCGTATATGAAACAGTTGTGCTGTATTAGAGAAGTTTCAGTTCACGATATGTTTGTCATCCATTATGTTTCGTCTTTACTCAACAGCGTACTGGTGAATGCGGCTTCGGGTGGTGACTTCAGGAAGTTCCCGCACGGATTCAAATTCGGAGCATCGACCTCTGCATACCAGGTAGAGGGGGGGTGGAATGCCAGCGGTAAATATTCTGAACCGGTAACATGACTATAATAGAACAGACGAGAACGTTTCAACAATACATTAAAAATTCATAATTCTTATTTACTACCAATATTTACATTATTAAATCTGTAATTAATGTTATATAATTCTTACTAAATTAATTATAACCGTGATTGTAGTGTCCGGGCGCTCGCCTTTAATTTAATATACTCGAGCAACCTGAGTTCGATCCCCAGTGCCGGCACCAAGGAAATTGTTAATTTTCAGTTCCGATTTATCACGTGTTCAGCGGTGAAGGAAAACATCGTGAGGAAACCTGCATAATTTCGAAATAATAATAATAAAAAATATATATTTCGAAGATATGTGAAGTCCGCCAAACCCTGAACCCTCTGTACAGAGGAGGCTTTGCCCTGCAATGGGACATGTATAGGCTGATACTCCACTAAATTAATTATTTACACTTACATATTAACTGAGTGGTTAGTTCCGTCCGGGGAAGTACCACGACCTGACAGAAGACCAGTGTGATGTGGCAGTAATGCTAAGGTATTATTAGGTTATCAGTATGACAACGTATAATATTCTAATGCATATAGTCTATGCAATCTGAGGTACTTCCACGGATGAATCTGTCCATTCTTCATTGATTCTCCATTCATTTTATAAAATTACTTATTTATAACAGTGGATTCAATTCAAGAACAAGTAAACGGGATTTTTTTTAACTTTACGAATGAAAAACAATAAGGAAAGATTAACTGGAAAATAAGCTATCTCAATCAAAGTCTATCACGTTTAAATAAACAGGAAAGCGGACGTTAATGACTTTATTACTGAGCATTATTATGTAAATTCAATATCGTTACTTATTTTTAATTATTATAATTAAGGTCGTTTGTTTACTTGTTAAGGCTCACCAGTAGCATTTAAAGTCTGACCGTTGCTATTGTAATAATTTCATGTCAATTAAGTGATAATTGAAGTATCTTAGTGCAGCCAACAGAATTATAGGAATATAGGAATTAAGCATGTATGTTATTTGACCCTAGTATTGTTCAAGAACCCTTATTAGGTTCCTAAGGTGACAGGTTGATCATTTTTTTTGTTCGTTTATTAAGTGCTCTCGGAAAGTTTCTTTAAATCAACAACAACATCTTACCGGCCTCTAGGCTACCATTTCTTGTTTACCTATTCTCTCTACCTTCTTCTCTCTCTACCTTATTCTCTCTCTAACTTCTTCTCTCTCTCTTCTCCTTACCTATCTACTCAAACACAATCAACACTGTTTGACCAGCCAAAACCTTCGTCTGAAACTGCTCAAACGCTCCCGCTTTCAGACAAAGGCGAGAGCATATGGGACAGGACGGTGCATACCGATCCGGTGTACTTACGGAGGAACATCAGCGGTGACGTCGCGGCGGATTCCTACCACAAGTGGCGGCAAGACATAGCCATTGCGTCCGACTTGGGACTTCACTTCTACAGGTAGGAGCATCGATATTTTTAGTATAATCACGGTAAACGTATTCAAAGGCAACGGGAACCGCTTTATTGCTTTTTGAATATTGTAAACTAATCGTTTTAAAAAAAGAGCAACTGTTCAGTTTCTTGTCGGTTTCTTCTCAACAGAAACTGCTTTCCGAACCGGTGGTAGCTTACTTACGAACGTATTAGTTTTTATGTAAAATTTAGACGTTTCATAAGAACGCGCAAGTGTCTATGTGAATAAATATATTTTTGATTTTGATTTTGATTTGATTTTGAATATTGAAACTCCGGAATTCTTGTTTTGGAAATATGACTATTAAAATTGTCTCTATTTGTCCCATTGGTTTGTCAATCTTATCGCTTCTAATATGATTTTCTTTTAGATTCTCTCTATCTTGGACGCGGCTCCTACCAACTGGTTTCACCAACGTAAGGAGCGAGGATGGCAAGAAATATTACAACAATCTCATCGACGGTCTACTAGAGAAAGGAATCGAACCTGTAGTGACGCTGTACCACTGGGACTTGCCACAGACCATCCAGGACCTGGGTACGCCACATAATTGTTTTGAAAATCGATATCACATCTACTACTTACTTACTTACTTCTCCTTCAATTATCTTCTTTGGAAAATATGTTAAGCCGTTTGTTAAAAGTTTGTTTTGAATTAATTTATGACAATCGGTGACAAAAGTAATCGAAATATTATCTTCATAATCCTTGCATAGCGCAACGGCAAAATTTTAATATGCTAACAATTAACAAGACCAAAGATAATGATTTTGGAGCCGGCAGGAACCCGGATCATTAAAATATCAAGACGTAAAACACCTTAAATGTTTCTTTAAATGCTGTGTAATATTCTAAACGTAAAGAGTTAAAAAACATAGTTAAGAAAACAGATTACTTTCTAAATCCATGAGATAAAATGGTAATTATGGTTTTCAAATTTCAATCAAACAATGCAGAATAATTATATAACTTTGTTGCTGACGTAACAGATAATGCATAATGGCGCACTGTTCAAAATGAGGTTCATAATTATCTCGACAGTATTTTTTTTATGTTAGAAGGTGGCAAGCGAGCTTGAGGTGTTCGTGATCTTGAATTTAGATGTCGTGGGTTCGATTCCCACACGGGACAACTATTTGTGCGACCCACAGATAGTTGTTTCGCATCATATTCGCATAATGCTGCATAAAAAATACTAATATAACATGGCAACAGTTTTTTTTTTTACATTTAATGGTCAAGGCTTAAGCAAGCTGGCTCAGTAATAAAAACTGGAAAATTTATAAAATATTTCAAATAAGTGGCACAAGCTTTCTTAGTATGAAAGTAGATAATGTCAATAAGCGCAAATATTACTGTCTTATATTAGGGACGGTTTATTTGCTGTTCTACGAGCTATATGGCCCATCGCCACTTCAGCTTGCTAATCCTATAACCGTTGGGGAAGAAAGGTTCTCGAGTGGCAGCCTCGTACTGGCCATCGCAGTGTAGGGCGACTACCCCACTAGATAGAGTGACGACCTGTACACATGTGTGGGGAGTCGATGGATGCAGGTGGCTCAGGATCGTACTTCGTGGCAGTCTGTGGGGGAGGCCTATGTTCAGCAGTGGACTCAAACAGGCTGAAATGATGATTTGCTGTAGAAAAACTAGGTTCACCGGGTCTGCAAACAGTGTAGCAAGAGTAGCAATTGCTACGCGCCCCGCGTTAGAGGCCTGAGCGTAACATATCGAGTGAAACTTATTAAGTAAGAGTATTCAATTGGTTTTTTAACACTTCATACTTAAGAAGCCATAGCAGATCAAGGGCTGTTTGAAAGAATTTCCTACGGACCCCGCGCTTGCTTAATCCAGTGTTGTCTGCAAATTACAAAAAAAAAGCTTAAGGAACTGTTATTTAATTGTTCAGTAATCACGTAAGGTCGATTGTGAAATAAATTCTACATTTAACACAAAGGTATTTTTTTTTATTTTTACGCGAAGAGGTGCAATTCAAACAATACATTCAGGTAAAGTAACAGCCTGTACATATCCCATTGCTGGGGAAAGGCCTCCTCTGTGCTGGGTACTCGTATTAGGGCATAGTCCACCACGCGGCCCCACTCCGGATTTGCCGACTTCGCACATCTTCGAAATATTATTTGTCGTTATTATTTCGAAAATATGCAGGTTTCCTCGCGATGTTTTCCTTCACCGCTGAGCACGTGATAATTCAATTGACAATTTCTTTCACACGGCAGCTTGTTTTTAGGCATCCGCACCCAAACGGTGAAACGGGACCCTGTTACTAAGACTCCGCTGTCTGTCTGCCTGTGTGTCTGTCTGTCTGTGTGTCTGTCTGTCTGTGTGTCTGTCTGTCTGTCTGTCTCCTTCACCGCTGAGCACGCGATAAGTGTAACACCGCCCATTCAGGTGGCTGGACAAATCCGCTGATAAGCGACTGGTTCGCCGAGTACGCGCGGTACGCTTTCGAGGCGTTCGGCGATCGGGTGAAGACTTGGACCACGATAAACGAGCCGCTGGTCGTCTGCGACTTCATCTACAACTCGGGCGTCTTCGCGCCGGGGGTCAAGGAGACGATATACGGGCCGTACCTCTGCAACAAACACGTGTTGATCGCCCACGCGAAGGCCTACAGGGTCTACGATGGTTACTTCAGGGAAAAACAGCAAGGTGGGTTAGCTGGGAGTTTGGACCGGTGAGGTATGTTTATTCACTGTTATGAACCACCAACGGAATATGTAAATAAATGTTACAATGGTATTGGGGACTAAGATTTACACGATTCCAATCAAACGTCACAGTTAGTTGCAGTGTAAAGACAGGTAAAAGACTCCCAGGTTCCACGAAAGGCCCGAGAATTAATTCGACTAAAAGTTAGCAAACAGCGCCAATAAACAACCCGACCCAAACCCGACTGTGGGCACACGTAGCTCGTGTAACCTCCTCATCGACCAATCAGGCCGACGAAGGGAACGAAAGAAGTTCCACCCACCACCCTTTCATATTACGACATAAATACGTAGTAAACAGAGTGTTGGTGAGCCCACGAACAATCCGAAACCGACCCTCACTTAATAATTATAACAAGTAAGAGCTTATATAAATGTATAAAACATAGCAATAAGATATAAAAGAAAATTTAAAAATATCATAAGACTATCGGATTTACGAAAACAAATATATCTAAATAGAAATATGAAACAGCAGAATCTGAAATAAATGGGTCAGCTATATTTGTGGATTTATTTAAACCGAACAGAAGTATGATCAATACCTCCGTTTTAATTTCCTCCATGGATCCCTATAAAGTTTAATCTGATCGTTTGTTGCAAAGTAATGAAGCTAGCTGATTAAAAACTACGAGTTTTTAGTTAATAGGATTACGGTTGGGACCTTTGACCTCTGGCTACCAATCTAGAGACTTTATTGAACGGATGATGCAATAGTTCAAGGTCCGCGGTTCAAATAACATCACTACTCGTATTAAACGATGCACGCTATGATATGGGTTCGATCCATACACAAAAATAGGTGAACGAATACTTGTTCTGAATTTGAGTACATTTTTGTCACATTACATGTTTGTTATCTTACTTCGTCCAAATATGAAAGATCATATATATTTTAGTTATATCTTACTTCGTCCAAGTATGAAAGATGAAGTTGACTCCGCTTATCTCCTCAGGCAAAATCTCCATTTCCAACAACCTGCTGTGGCTAGAACCCTTGAACCCTGAAGACGAGGCTCTAGCAGAGCTAGGACGAGAGCATTGCGTAAGTTACTTCTTTTATAATTATATTAATATAATTTTATTATAAATCGAGTTATTGGCTTCACGCTTTACCATCAAGTAACTTGGGCACATTTGACGATGAAAGCTTACGCATTGCTGTAGGAATCCGTCTGGGGGCACCGATTTATCAACCACACCAATGCCCTTGTGGTGTCAGTGTAGACAAATTTGGTTTCCACGGGCTTTCTTGTCAAAAAAGTGCTGGCCGCCACGGTTCCCTGAACGACATCATCCGTAGGGCTCTTGTTTCCATCAATGTTCCATCTATTTTAGAGCCCTGTGGCATTTTTCGCGACGATGGTAAGAGACCCGACGGCTTAAAAAAGATCCCTTGGGAGAGAGGCAAAGCCCTTGTTTGGGACGCCACTTGTGTAGACACTTTGGCTGCCTTTCATCTAAGGGGTACTTCGGTCAGGGCCGGGGCGGCATCGGAGGCAGCTGAAGTAAGTAAATGGCGCAAATATGAGTATTTATGTTCAGATTATGTATTTGTGCCATTTGCTGTTGAAACATTAGGTCCGTGGGGTCCCCGCACATCAAATTTTTTTAAAAGTTTATGTCCTAGGCTTAACGCCGCGGCTGGTGACAAGAGAGCTGTTTCTTTTCTCGCTCAAAAGTTAAGCATAACTATTCAGCGAGGAAATGCAGCTAGCGTTCTTGGTACCATGCCGCGTGGATTAGGTTTATAAGATAATATATAATTTTAGATAGATTTAATCTTGTAAATATTAGATCAATTATAAATTATGAATATAATTTTACATCACCATTGGCTTTAGGATTATGGCAAGGTTAAGTTCTTTGAGCCTTTGAAACTGATGGCATAGCTGAGCAAGCGGATCTCTTGACTTAAGGGGGATTGCCTTCCCCGTACCCTACTCACGACACTAGACGTTTGGGTCGTGCGCTGCCTTTTACTGAGAGTGTACCTACAAAGTGTCCCACTCACCGATTAAACGCATAATGTAAATATTTTCGTCACACCCATCTTCTGCGCGACTGTGTTACTTCGTGCATCGTGCTGACTGTACTATTGTACTTGAATAGTAAAGTCAGCATGATTCAGGAATATACCAATAACTGTACCACTATCTAACTCATTCTCATCACCCAGAGATAACTGAGAGTGTGTTCATCAACTTACCTCCCTAACAAAACGCCAAGACTGACATAATACTTTTATTAATTATTAATTTATTTTATTTATTATTTAACATTGGTAGGTCCACGCAACAGTTTACTGTTGCATGAATGGGCAGGTCCGTCCGGGACGTACCACGACCTCACAGAAGACCGGCGTGAAGTGGTATACTTCTGCGATTCGTCTGCTGAGTGAGGTAGCTGTGGCACTTTTTCAAAGGTGGTAACGCATCTGTAACCCTACGTGTGTTGCAATGTCCTTGGGCGGTGGATATCAGTTAACATCACGTGAACCGCCAGCTCGCCTGCCACCTTCTCACATAAAAAAGTGACGTCGTGACGAGTGTGACGTCGAAATACTTCCCGGTGTTGTAGTGGGCTCTTGGTGTTACTTTGCGCCCTAATATTTACGTAACTGTACTTTTAGCCCATTCCGTGTTATTGGTAGAGGCATTACTTCCCAGACCGGTCGGTACTCCCATCCGATATTCTCCAAGAAGGGTGGCTGGCCCCCATTGGTCGAGAAGGCGATGGCTGAGTACAGCCTCAAGCAGGGCTTCAACACGTCAAGGCTGCCAGCCTTCACCAAAGAAGAGATAAAACTGATAAGAGGTGAGTTCAAACATTCACTATGAGGGTCTATAAAAATGTTTGACTGTAAATCCTTTAGTTTTTTCATTTGACAAGGTTCTAAGTGATTACTGTACCTCAAACGTTGCAGATGCGTTGCGTACAATTAAAAATTACCTCACTCACCATGAGTACCGCGTAACCGTTACACTTACACTTCACGAAAGTCTTCTGTACGGTCGTGGGACATCCCCGGATTGACCTACTCATTCGTGCAACAGCGAAAACTGTTGCAAATTCGTGAAACAAATTCGTGAAACAGCATAAGTTTACTTCGGTATATCATCACGCTGGTCTTCTGTGAGGTCGTGGTCCCCAGACGGACCTGCCCATTCGTGCAACAGCGAAGACTGCGGAGTGGCCGTACCACTGCTAAAAGAAAGTGTGCTATCATTTAAATAATCACTACTATCCTCATAACCTGAGCACGAACGTTCCTTTACAATTTGCTGATTCGTTAGCTTTGTGCCTTACTCTTCCTTATGTTTTTAGGCACGTACGACTTCTACGCGCTGAACCACTACACTACCAGGTTCATCAGGCCCGTCAAGCCTGGTGAAGACCCGGGCTTCTGGTTCGTCAGCGGCTCCCCGGAGATCGGTGCGGTGCTCGAAGCGGACCCCGCCTGGTCTTTCGGAGCCTCGCAACTGCTTCCGGTCTGTGATTACATATTGCATCACGCTTTTATCGCTCTTCTCTTTATAAGCTTTTCCTTCTCATTTCTCTTCTCTTTTCTTTTTTCTTCTCGCTCTTGATTGTTTTCTTAGTATTTTCCTTCTCTTTATTAGCTGTCCTTTTTGATTAAAGCGCAAATGGGCGAAAAGAAATTTGCGTTTTGAACCGTTATTGAAATCTTTTCTCAAAATTATTACTTTTAAACAGGGGGATGCTTTTTGGTTTTATTATTTAAAAATAAAATTTGAAATATTTTTCATGTCTGCTACTTCGGCTCCAGCGCTTGATTGAGCGAAGCCCGTGTCTTTTATTTCGTAGTGCGGCCATAGCCATAATAAATACTCTCGGAATACAGAAAAAACTTTTCTTTTTAACTTTTCTTTCTATATTTTGACTTTATGCTGTACAAAACATTCAAATCACAGATTTGCGCGCGATTAACCGTCACTGTGTGGACAGGGCTTTACACTCTAGTCAGGTGGTAAATATTCCTTCGTGTGCTGGTAATTTCATAACTGCACAAGTGCTCTCTGAACAATAAAGGTTACCTTATTATGTTCTTTTTGACATTTTCTCCGCCGGTTCCAATCCCAGGGGCAGGCGGTCTGTCCGAAAAAGTACCACGACCCCATAGATGTGCGGCGTGAAGTGGACGTTTTATATACTTCTGCTTTTCGTCTGGTGAGTGAGGTAGCCGTAGCCCACTGTATAATGGCGGCGGATGTAGAAGCAGGCCAGTGGGCAGAATTTAGGGGGCGGCAAATTTAGCCCAAAAAGGTTTGTCTTACAGAAATTAAGAAAAACATCATTATATACATAGAGAAAACGAGTCTTGAAAATTTAACGTAATGAAAGACTTTCATCACTTGATTCAATAGAGATACTGTTTGTTTATTTTTAAACTGTACATTATTTTGTGTTAGGTGTGTTCATACATTATGTATTTCAAGGCATACCTTACCTTGTCTTTTAATTAGGACATGATTGAGCTTCTTTTAGCTCAGAAGTATACCCAAAAACTTTTACGTGTAATCTTTACTAAATCGTAGATTATAACTATAATCTTGAAACCATAGGGGTGTTGCAAATGTCAATGGGAGACGGTTATCACTAAACTTAACGTCAAGTAATCAACCAGCTCGTTTGCCACCTTCTGATATTAAAAAAAACTTATTTTTATCTAAAAATCGATCGTATTATCGATTAAAATTTTTATATTTTTTCTATTGTGTCTGACCTTGGCCACGTGGAAACAAAGAAAATCCATTTTCCTTTTTTACAGTAGTGTTACGAAAGCAAGCAATATATTATACACTTCTTGAGAGATTAATCACTTTTTATGCTAACCAATTTGATAGTAAGTGGTAAATATCACCAACACTGTAGTGATTCTAGTTCCTTCTTTTTGTTATAAAAAAAAAAGATATATGATGTAACGGCCTATACATATCCCACTCCTGGGCAAAGGCCTCAGGTACCAGGGCGTAGTCCTCGATGCGGCCCCACTGCAGATTGGTGAATTTCACATATTATCTTCGAAATATTGTTTTTTATTATTTCGCAAATATACAGGGATCTACGGTGGTAGGGCCACGCAGCCTCGGCTGTTGCACGAATCGGCAGGCCCGTCCGGGTAAGTACCATGACCTCACAGAAGACCAGCGTAAAGTGGAAGTATGACAAATACTTTCGCGTTTCGTCTGGTGAGTGAGGTAGCCGGAGCCCAATTTTCAAAAGGTTGTCAACGCATCTGTAACCCTCTGGTGTAGCAGATGTCCATGGGCGGCGGTATTCACTCACCATCAGGTGAACCGTCTGTTCGTTTGGCAACTTTTCACATAAAAAAAAAATACAGGTTTCCTCACGATGTTTTCCTTCACCGGTGAGCACGTGACTAGATAACACTTAAAATTAAGTTTCATTGGTGCCGGCACCGGGGATCGAACTCAGGTTGCTCGAGTTTATTTAATTAAGGGCGTCTGGACTCTGATGAGGATTCTTCGATCGCGGTTCATGGTCGTTTTATTTCGGCTGACTCCTATCCTTACTAATTTATTATAAAGGCGAAAGTTTGTATGTATGGATTGATGTTTGTTACTCTTTCACGCAAATACTACTGAATGGATTCAATCAATCAATCAATCAAAAATCTTTATTCAAATAGACGCTAGCCCGTTCTTATGAATCGTCAAATTTTACATAAAAATTTATACATAGAGGTTCGTAAGGTACCACCGGTTCGGAAAGCGGTTTCTGTTGAGAAGAAACCGGCAAGAAACTCAATAGTTGCACTTTTTCAAAGATATCAGTTTACAATATAAAATACCGGTATAATAGTCTTATTCTACCCTACGTGAGTATCAACAGTATTAACTCCACACATTGGCGTCGTCGAGATATTCCGCAATAGTGTAATATGCTTTAATCTTAAGTTGACTTTTGATTTTACGTTTAAATTGATCAAGCGGCAGACATAATATCGACTGTGGGATTTTATTACACATGCGCACACCTTGCCCCATGAACGACCTATTAACTTTTTGTAGGCGAAACAATAGCGTAGTAAGTTTGTCCTTATTTCTAGTGTTTAATTTATGTCTGTCACTATTCTTTAGGTAAAAATTAAGGTTATGACGAATATATAAAACATTACAATAAATGTATTGAGAAGCATTATGAGAAGCATACAATAAATGTATTGAGAATGTATAGAATTCATATCGGATGCACTACCCCACAACAAAATGCCGTATGACAAGATGCTGTGAAAATAGCTGAAGTAAACAAGTCTGGCAGTGTCAATGTAACCCTTCTAATCGCAAAAACCGCGGAGCTTAGCCTATTCGCAAAAGATGATACATGGGGACTCCACTGGAGGTTTGAATCTACTGTAATTCCCAGAAATACAGCAGACGCAACTGGATTAATGGGTACTTTATTTAATATTAAACTAAAACTTTGCCGTCTTATACTGGGAAGGGTAAAAAGAACACATCTAGTTTTTTTTTAATAATGTAATGAAACTTTACAATAATATAGCTTATACATCAGAATAACACATAGGATATAACTTATATACTCTTTTTACTCAAACGTGTTTTTGTCATAACACCATAATCCTTCGTCGAGTTAAATGATGATCCACCATTTGAAAACTTATATTTGCTTGCATTGATGAGAAATATACCAATAGCATAGAGTTAATGTTTTAATAAAAAAATCGTTTTAAAACTTATTATGTACTAGCTGAGCCCGGGACTTCGTCCGCGTGGAGTTATATTATATATATTCATAACAATAAATAAAATTTCTAAAATCAAATAACCTAAGTTACTTCTTGTTACATCGGCTATCTGCCTGTGAAAGTCCAAATCGGTCGAGCCGTTTCAGAGATTAGCCGGAACAAACAGACAGACAGACAGACAGACAAAAATTGTAAAAAATGTCATTTTGGTATATGTACCGTGAATACATCCATATGTATTTAGCAAAAAGCAGTTATTTTAATATTACAAACAGACACTCTAATTTTATTTATCTGTATAGATAACAATGCCATCTATTGACAACTTGTTTAAATTAATGATAGATAATTAGCATTTAGTTTATTATATTATATTAGCATTTGGTAACTGATCACGGTAGTTGACCAGTGTGATTCATTATTCTTCCTTTTTAACATAAAAAATCTTTATATATGTATATAATTCTTGATTCTTCTCTTAAACGCCTGAACGGATTTTTATGAAATTTTCTGTTTTCAAGTGGTTTCGAAAATGGTTTAATTCACAATTCTGTCCACTACAAAAGTTTTTTTTTAAACTATTTTTTATCTACAATTTGTTGTTGAATTTAAGACGAGTGACGTCTGTCTGCTCCGTTAGTATAAATATGTGTCTTAGAAGCAAAAGTGAATAGCTGAGCTAGTGCGTTTGCCATTTGATATAACACCTTTACTTGCCATCAGGCGAGTTACCAGGCCGATTTAGGGTAAAAAGAAAAGAAAAACTTTCGACTCGTGAAGGATTTGAACCTCCGCCCTCCGATGGTCAAGATCAGGTTTATATCGGCGCTCTCACCTACTGAGCTAACGAGTCTTGCGACCGGATCCCTCAAATAAGCCAACAGTAGGCTCAGAATGACGTCATACAGCCATTCAATTACCGACTAGGATTGACGGTTACTGTACTATTCACAGCGAACGTGAGTGGTGAATTTATTTCTGTATTGGTTATGACTTGTTTTAAAACACTAGTTTGAAGTTATATAATTTCTTTTGGCGCGTCTGTAAAAAAGTATGAGAGTGAAATTTCGCACACCTACAGCTAAAAAGATACAGGATGAAGTTGGTTACTAAGCGACCATGATTATATCATAATTTCGTTTCGTTCTTGAACAATATTACAAAATTAATATGTTCTATACATTAAATATTTTGCGTTTAAACTTTAAAGCGAATGAAATTGTAAATTCATACAGATGGAGATGCATATTATACAGCGTGTCTTTACAATCGCGACAGTAAATGAACACACATATAGAGGATAACTTTTTAAAATTGTATTAAACATTTACATTCTTTAAACATCAATATTTACAGAGTTATTAAATTTTCCAAATCAAAGAAATTTAGAACACCCTTACGTATAAAACTGTAACGTAAAGTTCTATTGTAAAGGTCACAAAGCATATGAATGGGTTGAATGAATTTAAAAGAGACAAAACATACTGTTAGAAGGAGAGGCTTGTAATACGACGCTGTGGCGCGAGTTGTATAGGAAGTTACAAATTTTGTTTCTTTTTTACTTAATTAGTTTGTTTGAAAAATATAATAAAAAAGAAATATTTCTTGTTTTTTTTGTTTGTTTTGTAAAATTTAATAACTCGGTAAATATTGATGTTTAAGGAATGTAAATTTTTAATACAATTTTAAAAAGTTATCCTCTATATGTGTGTTCATTTATTGTCGCGGTGGTAACGACACGCTGTATAGATGGAGCTAAAGAAGTTTTACTTTAGTCGTGTGATATAAGCCATACTCTTTTTTTTATAAGTACACACCGTCAAGTGTGTGACTACAAATAGTTGTCCCGTGTGGGACAATTATTTGTGTCACAGTATTTGTCTGACATTTGGGAAAAATGATATAATTATGATTAAATGAAAACATTTCATGGCTTTTATCACGGTTTTATTTTTATTTTACATTCCCGTCATTTTTAACACTTCACAATGTTAATGGTCACGGAGCACACTACCCATTGTTTTCCTAATGTCACTTAACCATGTTAAATATTCAAAGTGTGAAATGTTTTTTATTTATTAAGATCGTGTGTATTTACAATTATTTCGTGGTGTCATTGTATTTTATAAACGGTAGCAATCGTCCGTGACAACAATCTAACCACTTTTTAATAACCTCTAAAAGAATAAAAAAAAATACATTTATTTAACAAGAAAAAAGACTGTCACAACAAAAAAAAACTAAATTAACTTGAAAAAATAAACTAATACATACATACAGTATAACAAAAGCAACAGAAAATTCAACATTATCGCCAGTTGTGCATCGTTCACTACTTTACTAAATCAAGGTTATTTGTGACGAGAGCTAATTGTGTCTATTTATTTGCTTAATTGTTTTATGACGCAATGTCGATTATGTATAGATATTTTGTGGTTGGGTTGGGTTTTACGTGAGAAAAATGCTGTACAGGGTGGCATTTGGGTCGTAGACGGGCAGGGACGCGGGAACAAAAGGACGCAATCTTCTTTCGTTTTGTACGGTAACCAGTTAAGTGAGACAACCCTTAAAGTGTTTACAATGCCTCGGCTGTTGTAGATACCATCACTTATCGGGTCTACCGTTTACTCGGTTGCCACCTTTCTCACATATTTAAATATTTTAGGACACATTTTTACACAAATCTTATATATATACATATATAAAGAGCTGTCCGAGCAATTTATAACATCGGAGCCCGGAATACACTCAGAGATCTTTTTAAAGAGATTAATATACTCACTGTAGCGTCTCAATATATTTATTGTAATATTTTGTATGTTAAACATAATATTAATAATTATCTAAAGAATAGTGACAGACATAAACTAAATACTAGAAATAAGGGCAAACTAACTACGCCATTGTTTCGTCTACAAAAAGTAAACAGGTCGTTCATGGGGCAAAGTGTGCGCATGTATAAGAAATGCTCACAGTCGATATTAAGTCTGCCACTTGATGAATTTAAACGAAAAATTAATAGTAAAGTTATGGCTAAAGCCTATTATACTATTGCCGAATATCTTGACGACGCCAATGTGTGTGGGGTTAATACTGTTGATACTCACGTAGGCTAAAACAAGACTATTATACCTGTATATGTGTGTATATATTGTAAACTGATTTTTTTAAAAAGAGCAACTGTTGAGTTTCTTGCCGGTTTCTTCTCAACAGAAACTGCTTTCCGAACCGGTGGTAACTTACGAACGTGTTAATTTCTTGTAAAATTTTGACGTTTCATAAGAACGCGCAAGCGTCTATGTAAATATAGATATTTTATTATTATTATATTTGGGGGATATTTCTTTGTTTTCTCGTCTGGTTGGGTTTATAGATAAAAATAAACATATAGATATATATTGCATATATAAAATAAATATTATGAATAAAAATAAACATGTAGATATAAATATTGTATATAATACATATATAAATAGGACCCAACCAGACGGAAGCCCTCAGCAGGGGAGACCAAACGGCCGAGGGTTAGGGTGAAACCGGCGGATGATGCGGGCGGTATCGAGGAGCACCGCTTTCTGCATTAGAGCTTGGAGCGTACCGTCCCGGAGTCCCAGTCGCCTCAGATGTCCGGAGAGGCTGAGTGGGATCAACCCATTCGCAGATACGACTATTGGGTTAATTTCGCTCGTGCGTTTAACTATGGTGTGTCATCTAAGGGCCATCGAGAGCGCGGTTCGGACCGAAACCCCGATGGCCGTCGACTGTGCAATTAGCTAATCGGTGGCTGTGTGCGTTGTGTTGGTCTCGCCGTGCTCGGAGGCGAGGGCGAACTAGTGTGTTTGTTGTAGCACTAACTGTGGGTGTAGTGTTATCCGGCGGGACCCCCGGCGGTGGGTCCGGCGTATCTCAGTCCCCTTCCTCGACCGGGTCGATTAGGACGTTTCGCGGGCGACGGTTGTTGACGTTCGCGTTTGTGTCGGTTTGGTAATTTGCTGCGCTTACCACCAGAGGGTTGGGGTGATGTTCGGCTCTATCGAAGAACCGTTTGCTCAGGTCTTTAAAATATTCGCGAATCGTCGGGAGTCTGCAATCGCTGTTTCATTCGTGCATCAGCGAACAATGTTGCGTGGCCCTACCGCAGTGAAAATTTGAATGGACATATTTCATCATCCTAGATTTAAATAAAACGAAGAAATCTTCGAATAATTTTAAAAGAAAGAAAGCTTCAAATAACGTTGGCTTTATTCGTACCCGTTGTGACTAAAAGTACATGAATTTATGTCGATTGAGTTATTTTAGAAAACAGATTACGTCATTTTGAAGCAACTGTTGGCTTATTTGAGCGAAGTAATCGTTAGACTCGTTAGCTCAGTAGGTGAGAGCGCCGATATAAACATAATCTTGACCATCGGAGGGCGGAGGTTCAAATCCTTCACGAGTCGATACTTTTACTTTTTTTTTAATTTAGTAAAAATTAACAAGGATGTCAAAATATTACATTACGTTCCATGGCAAGCAGCACAGCGTTAATATATTGCACAATTATCGAATGATTATCAAAATGTTCACTCAAATTATTAAACGGACAAACGAAAATGTTGAGAACGATATGTAAGTTAATATTCTTACAAGTTGGCATTATAATGAATTCCGCATCAAGTTTTGCTGCAAATGGAAAATATCGTCCGCCCCATATAAAATTCGAAGAAAAATCTTTATTATTTTTGAATCTTATGATTTAAATTAACTCACATTCATTTACTACACATATACCTACATTAACTAATAAATTTTATAAGGACGCCATATTGTGGAGAACCGGCCTTTATTAAAATTATTTCGTTTTCTATGAAATAATTCATAATTAACTAAATTCATAATTACTTAAATAATTAGGAAAAAATACATAATTAACGTGAATGAAATGTTGTGGTTTAACATGATTGATAAATATTGAATATAATATAACTGTCAAAACTTTTTAATTTATGTCAAAGGATATTTTAAATATGAAAGGAGTTTTCAGAAGGTTACAGAAGAAAATATATTACCTGAAGTGAATTCCACTGATATTAGAATCATTAAAAATAAAATACCTTGTAACGTAATTTTTGCTCAACGATAGATGTCGCTGTAACATATTGCATGTTAAACGTAACAATGCTAAAAGTACTATATTACATGTTAAAAGTATGTAAAAGTAATGAAAGTAATGAAAAAAAAACAGCTTCTGTTAAGACTTTTATATGAGACCCAAACACAAACGTTATACACAGTCTCATCAAACTGGTATACCTATAAAAAAATCGTAAGCTTTGAAATTTTAAAAGTAAATTAAATATTGTTAATGCAATAAGTTTACGATAAATGTTTCAATGGTTTTTAGTTTTTAATATATCATGTAAAAAGTACAACACTAATATTACAAATATTCTGCTGGAGGATGTGGAAGCAGGAACAATCAATAGAACTTTGAAGAGCAATTTGAGTTATCTGAGGCAATCCTCACAATGAACTATGAACCTACTAACTTGTGTAGGAAACAGTGATCTAAGGATGTGATAGATGACGTTAAATTCAAATTGGTTTCTATCAACGTAGTATTCTTCTAGTATTTCATTTACTATGAAGCGGAACAATTTTTGATTTTCATTGTTTAGTTTTATCTATGTTTATTGTATCTAATTAATTGGTATATATTAGTACATTATTATTATACAAAATATAATATATTCGTTTAGTTTAGTCTTAGTATGTAACTTTATCATTCGCACGACCTACCGTTGTCCAAAAATTTATAATTTTAGCCATAGGGTTGTCTGGAAGAGATCGGTTTTTAGGGATAGGACCGCCTTATTGTTGCTACATGATAAGTTATTTTTGTAACATCACTTTTAAATGTTTATGGTGTTCAATGAAGCAAAAGTATAATAATTTTTAAATAACGTGCAGTGTGGGCATGCGTCATCTGTAACATTAAACATCATTGCTTTACAGGTGTATCCCGAAGGACTGCGCCGCCAGATAGCGTGGCTGATGAAGAAGTACGGTAACGTGGGTTTCCTCATCACCGAGAACGGCTATTCGACCGCCGGGAGTGAGCTAAACGACGTCAAAAGAATAAAGTTCATCAAAGACTACTTGGAGCAGGTGATTTTATACGAACTTATATAATACATACCAACTGTTCAATGGGCAATCACAATGATATATAATTATATAAATTATAACATTTTCAAGCGGACGTTTAACAATTTTTAGGGTTCCGTACCCAAAGTATTACTAAGAATCCGCTGTCTGTCTATCCCTTTGTTACCAGGCTCTCATGAACTGTGATAGACAGTTGAAATTTTCTCGGATTATGTATTTCTGTTGGCGCTATAAAAACAATTACTAAGAAACGGAATAAAAAATATTTAAAGGGAGATCCGGACAACAAACATGATTTTTTGTCCTTTCTATAGATAATTTATTTATTTATTTATTTATTACACATACCAACAGTATACATATTAAAAAACTTAGTGATATTACATTACAATATTAACGGAACCCTTTGTGCGGGAGTCCGACTCGCACTTGACCGGTTTTTTTTCTTGTCCACGATAGCAACATTGTTTTGATGGAGTCAAAATCAAAAAAAATATATTTATTCAAATAGACGCTTGCGCGCTCTTATGAATCGTCAAATTTTACATCAAAGATAATGTGTATAGGTTCGTAAGGTACCACCGGTTCGGAAAGCGGTTTCTGTTGAGAAGAGACCGGTAAGAAACTCAACAGTTGCTCTTTTTCAAAAATATCAGGGTACAATATAATATACAGGTATAATAGTCTTATTCTAGCCTACGTGAGTATCAACAGTATTAACTCCACACATTGGCGTCGTCGAGATATTCCGAAATGGTATAATATGCTTTAATCATCAGTTGATTTTTAATTTTACATTTAAATTGGTCAAGCGGCAGACTTAACATCGACTGTGGGATTTTATTATACATGCGTACACTTTGCCCCATGAACGACTTATTTACTTTTTGTAGACGAAACAATGGCGTAGTAAGTTTGTCCTTATTTCTAGTGTTTATTTTATGTCTGTCACTATTCTTTAGGTAATAATTAAGGTTATGACGTATATACAAAACATTACAATAATAATAATAATAAATAAATGTATTGAGAAGCAACAGTGAGTATATTAACCTCTTTGAAAAGATCTCTGAGTGAATTCCGGGCTCCGATATTGTAGATTGCTCGGACAGCTCTTTTTTGAAGAATAAATATAGAATTTATATCTGATGCACTACCCCACAACAAAATGCCGTACGACAAGATGCTGTGAAAATAACTAAAGTAAACAAGTCTGGCAGTGTCGATGTCTGTTAGCTGCCTAACCCTTCTAATCGCAAAAACCGCGGAGCTCAGCCTATTCGCAAGAGATGATATATGGGGACTCCACTGGAGCTTTGAATCTACTGTAATTCCCAGAAATACAGCAGACGCAACTGGATTAATGGGTACGTTATTTAATATTAAACTAAAACTTTTCCTTCTTATACTGGGAAGGGTAAAAGAATACATCTGGTTTTTTTGGCATTTAATACCATATTATTAATAGTAAACCAGTGGAGGATATGTGAAAGTGCACTATTCACGTCGTCATAATTTAATACGTTTCGGTCAACTTTAAAAATAAGCGATGTATCGTCAGCAAACAGTACAACACACACAACCCACTGGCATAAAAGGGGAGATCATTAATATATACTAAAAATAATAATGGGCCCAAGATTGATCCTTGTGGGACTCCCATTTTCATCTGGGACCCAGTGGAATTAACATCATTTATAGATACTTTTTGAATTCTATTACTAAGGTAAGAGGCAATGAGATTGAGGGCGATCCCACGAATGCCATAATATTCTAGCTTTTGAAGGATAGTTTTATGGTCTACGCAGTCGAAGGCTTTTGAAAGGTCACAAAAGACACCTATTGCATCTTGTGACGTTTCCCAGGCGTTATAAATATGTTTGACAAGTGCGACGCCCGCATCTGTTGTCGATCTGCCTTTAGTGAATCCATATTGTTGATCGTGAAAGATTTTGTTCACATTAAAATGAACTAAAAGTTGATTTAATATTAGCTTTTCAAAAACTTTACTAAGAGATGGCAATATGGAAATAGGTCTATAGTTGCCTGGATCATTTTTATCACCACTTTTGTAGACAGGTATTATCTTACTAAATTTCATAAGATCTGGAAATATTCCAGAATCTATGCAGTTGTTAAAAATAGAAGCCAAATGTGGTGCAATATATGGCATTATTGTGCTCATTAATTTTATGGACATACCCCATAAATCCTCTGTATTTTTAAGATTAATAGAATTCAAAACTTTTATAATATCATAAGTATCTACGTGATTAAATTTAAATGTGTGTAGGCAAGGGGTAACATTATTTCTTAAAACATTAATTGCGTCTGCGGGAGATGATTTTAATGTACGTGTGACATTAACCGCAATGTCTGAAAAATAGCTTTCGAAACTACTCGCAATTTCGTTATCTGATATTATGGGAGTATTACCTATAACTAGTTTTATAGGTTCCCTGAATATCTTGGTTCTTCCAGATATACGGGTAATGATGTCCCATGTGGCTTTAGTTCTATTGTTTGAATTTATTATGCTATTTCTTATATAAATAGATTTTGCCTGAATACAGACTTTTTTAAATATTTTTGAAAATGTTTGTACCCGTTTAAGGAAGTTAGGATCGTGATTCCACTGCCTCATACTATATAATTCATACAATGAATCCCTACTTTTGTATATACCCACTGTTGCCCAGTCACTAAATTTTAATTTTGAATTCTTAACAATTGTGCGCGATTTAAAAGTATCATTATAAGAAGATATGAGAAAGTCCACCATTGATCTATAAGAGTCATTAGGGTTATTGACTCCTATATCTTTATTTAACATATGATGTGCCACTTTATCTCTAAAAGCATTTATTCTATTAGTAGTGACTGGTCTACACTTGATCTTAAGTTTGCTTGTATTAGCTTTTTCATTTATTGAAAATTTTAGCCCAAAGTGATCCGAGCTCAGATGATTTATAACATATTTATCATATACATCACTGTGACAGAATACATTATCTATACATGAGGAGGATAAGTTAGTAACACGAGTTGGTTCATGAAAAAGATTTTTAAGTTCAAATGAGTTAAATAAATTTAAAAGTCGTTTACTGAGTTGTGTTACTTGTAATAAATCCACATTAAAATCTCCACAAACTATTAATGATTTACTACTTGAACATATTTTTTAAGAACATCATCCATTACACACTCAAACTGATCGAAATCACCTGATCACCGGGGGGCCGGTATACGCATACTATGATATACTGTTGACTCTCAACGCAGGATAATTCAATAGAACGTTCGACAGAGTGTGCCACTATATCCTGTCGATTTTTACAGACTATATCAGTTCTAACTAATACAAGAGAGCCACCGCGAATAGCATTTACTCTTACGAACGAACTTAACAATTTATAATTTTCTATATTAACAATATTACAGTGCTTATGTAACCATGTCTCTGTGAAGCAGATGACATGTATATTAAATTTCCTAAGGAACAATTCAATTTCGGGTTCTTTGCCGCCTAAGCCTTGTATATTTTGATGCACAATATTTAATTTAAGTGGCCTAGGCGTTGTCTCAATGTTTAGTTTAAACTAACATTGTTTGCTGAAAGATTATTACATAATAAAATATTCTTAGTTGTACTATGTACAACTGGGTTTTGTATATTATATGCTACTAGAGTAGCAATTAGTTTCTTATAAATATAGTGGCAAATACAAAGTATTTTTTGTCACCTTAAAACTAGATTTAATAAAATTATTTAAGTCAAAATAAAAGAAAGCGTCACTATGACGGTGAGTTATGTTATATATAGTCATGTTAAGACTATGTATGTATTTATTTTGTTCCTCTGAAAGGAAAGAGGAATATGGAAATGAGCATAATATAAATTTGCACTTAGTTTTAATGTAAGTTGAGTAATATTTCCATATTATTAACAATTTCCTGTTTCCTTACAGATGAAATATCCCCATGAAGTAGTACAATAGTACTATTCTCATTTAAATTTAATGTCAATAATTTGTTAATATTGTTATGAAAACTGGCACCTGGTGAACATATATTATATACATTATTTACATGTTTGGAAAGTAAAGAACCAAAACCTTGTCCTATATTATCCGATACAATTATAACTTTATGTTTATTATTGGAGATATTGGATGATTTGACAACTGAATGTAATTTATTTTCAAATTTATTATATGATGGCTGATTGCGTTTTTTCTGTATGACCAGGTCACTTCCCATGTCTGCAGATATATTCTGAGTGTTTAATTTATTTGGAGATTCTGTGTTGGAGCAACAACATGTATTTTTGCTAGTAAATTATTCAAATCTGTTATAATTATAATTACAAAGATCTAATAAATTATCAGCTGCTAGAATATGTTCCTGTATTTGTACTGTCCTGGAGTTCACCTAACGTCTACAATGTAACACCCCTCTGCAATATGTAAGCTTGCATTATTAATTACTAGCGACCCGCCCTGGCTTCTCACGGATGCAATGTATTATATATATAAACATTCCTCTTGAATCACTCTACCTAGTAAAAAAAAATACATCAAGACCCGGATAGACAGACATCGGGACGACTTTGTTTTATGATAAGTATGTGGTGAAAAATGATATTCTGACTGAAAATGATATTCATTTTCAGTTGCTTCTGTCAATATGGGTGGACGGCGCAAAAGTCTTGGGCTACACTTACTGGTCGATGATAGACAACTTGGAATGGGCGGATGGCTACGAGTGAGTGTTTTGTTCGTTATTGTTTAACTTTTACATTTACTTTAACTGATGTTTATGCTTTATTGATTTACTTATTCTCTCACAAATAGTGTTAAAAGCGGACTTAATGCCAAAGGAGTTATCTCCCAGTGTGCTTACAGTTCGTAGACTGTTAAAGCTACATCGAACCCAGATCTCGCTACGCACGTGCTCATGCGTGCGTTATATGAGAAGGAAAGCCATCTACGCCACATAAATAATAATAATAATACTGGCTCTAAGTATCAAACGCGTTTCCAGTTTCAAGTTCGGCCTGTACGAAGTGGACTACGACAGCCCGGAGCGGACGCGAACACCGCGCGCCTCTGCACATTACTACTCGAACGTGATTCGAACCAACACTATATACTGCGAAGGATCCACCAATGGCCGGCGACAACCGATGCGCTACCGGCGCAAGGGACCCGAGAATAGCTCTCACAACGTCGCTGGATCTGTCGCCCTGATCTCGATCGCCTTTGCGTTTCTAGTGTGATTCGCTTTAAATGCGTGTCTAGTTCAAGATACTTCTCAACCGACCTCAAAAAAGGAGCGTTACCAGAGATATGCGTCATTTACGTGCCCATTTTAAAAATTAGTTTTGTGTTGATTTCAATTTAGCATTTCTCAAATGTGGTGTCATATTTTCATTGGTTGGACCTTGGTCTCGGGAAACGTCAGGGAACTCTTCAGAATAAAGTGAGTGAGATTTACGAAGTCGGTTTTTTATCTAGTACAAAAACTTTTGTTTTGAAGAAGAACCTGAAGACTGGTTCTTCATTTAAACGCAGTTTCGATTTATCTCCAAAAAATCTTTGAACCTTATATTTATGTAATTATGTGTATTAAAACGCTAAGTTAATTACAGTTCTTTTATGTTTATATGCATCAATACAGTACATCGTGATGTCTCGCTAGCTCCGTGCGTTGAAAGGATGAATGTTAATTTATTATCGTTATTCGTAAATTGTACAAGTGCCCAACCCTTAGTTGTTCTTGTGGCAGATACATTGAGTTTTCCTATGGATTCCACAGTTTTCAGACGATGCTGGTCAGAGCGTGCGTCATAATAGCGTAAAATGTAAAGTACGTTTGCCAGACTATGCAAAGATCTTGTAGATTAATGCTTCTCATATGTGATTTAGCTATGCTTAGTCAGTAAATATTTGTACAAAATAATACATTAAGGGGTTTTTTTTTCGTTATTTTACATAGAATGCTGTGAGTAGAAATTTGGTCAAATGGAAAGTTCGTCAAATTGTTTATTAAAAGGAACAATCCTATTCATAATGCTAGAACAACGTTTTGATCCGCCATTCTGTATTATATTGGTATATAAATGAATTATGTAACTGTGTTCCACCTGGCCATAATTAAAATGATCGAAATGTAAATTTACAAAAAAATATATATCTATTATTAATTTATTGATTACATGTTAACTTGAATAAAAATATTTTAAAAACTGTATTTTTTTTTATTCTGGCAACATATCTGCAATCGCAAAAGTGTTAAAGATGTCCATGGCAGACGGTAGCTTAACGTCAGGCGAACTGCCTACTCTATGGTCAAAAACATTCCTTTGACATCGGTCGAAAGTAATGTTTTAGCTAACAAAATACGTATCGAGTACGGTACGGTATAAATGCATACCATTTTAACAAAGAACTCTTTTATTCTACCGGTAGGTTGCACTTTACCCTTTAATATTGATGTTTACATTTTACTGTCGAATGTAAATCTTTAATACATCAAAAAATTTTAAAAAGTTAAAAAAATATTTTTATCCTCTATATTTGTGTGTTCATTTATTCGTTGCCACAGTGCCGCATTACAAGCCTCTCCTTCTAACGATTTTAAATTCATTCAACCCATTCATATGCCTTGTGACCTTTACAAATGAACTTTACGTTACGCTTTTATAGGTTTTAAGGGTGTTCTAAAATTCTTTGTTTTGGAAAATGTTATAACTCGGAAAATATTGATGTTTACAGAATGTAAATCTTTAATACAATTTTAAAAAGTTATCCTCTATATGTGTGTTCATTTATTGTCGCGATTGTAAAGACACGCTGTATAGGAGGAACATATTAAACATATTCCTTCGATATGCAGGATATCATATTCCGTGATGAATGCAGGGAAAATGGAATAAGAAGCGTTGTAATTTGTAACAAAAACACGTTTATTTCTTAAACATCTTTTGCAACTTCAACAGCGGCTCGTTCTTACTTTTCCTCTTCTCCCTTTTCAATTCGCCGGTTTCCAGAGCTCTCTTCATAACCTGTGAAATAGGCAATTAACCGCAAATTGTATTCCAAGCCAAATAGGTTTGGCCAAACTATTAATGACATATGAAACTACTAGCTGTTAAACGCGGCTTCACTCGCACGGGCAAAGGCAATTAATAATGAATTTTTTATTATACACCAGAATAGCTCGCAGATGGCAGAATTTTTTCCACCTTACTTGACACTTATTGTTCATTTTGGATAATTCACACAATATCTTTATTAATTATAGCCTATGTGTTATTCTGATGTATTAGCTATATTGAAAATGAAATGAAATGAAAATGAAAATGAAAATATGTTTGTTGACAAACAGAATTACACTTAAGTACATTGTGCGTTGGCACCACACTAGGCAAAGCCTGTCCTGTGGTTGCCGTCTATTGCGATTGCCATCTATTTTACAAATTTGCCAGTCGAAAGATCGCTTCATACTAAATTTTTAATAAATATTACTAAAATTATTGTAAAACTTTACAAAACATTAAAATCCATTCAGTAGTTTTCGTGTTAAAGAGTAACAAACGTCCATCCATCCATACAACTTTTACGTTTATAATATTAGTAAGGATTTTGACTCTGTTATTGTAGGTGGCAGGGCCATGCACAACATTTCGCTTTTGCACGACTGGGCAGCTCCGTTCGGGGAAGTACCGCGCAGAAGATCGGCGTGAAGTGAAAGTGTTACACTTCTGCGTTTCGTCTGGTACGTGAGGTAGCCGGGGCGCACTCTATTAAGAGGTGGCAACGCTGCTGCCACACTACGGGTGTTGCAAATGTCCATGGGCGGCGGTTATCACTTAACATCAGGTGAACCGCCAGCTCGCTTGGCAACATTTCACATAAAAAAAAATGTTGGTTTAATTTTTTACAACATATTTACCAAGTTAAAAATATATTTTATATTTTACTTAACGTAAATATTTTTCTGTCTCCGTGTTTTCATTTACAATTTTTTTTTTGGTAAATAAATTACATTAAAAAAAAAAATTACCTGCAAGGCGTTTCGGTCTTCCCGCTGGACTGGCTCGTTGAGGGTCGGGAACTTGTAGGAGAAGCCCTTGGGGAGCGCCGGCCTCGCTAGCAGCGCTTCCAGCCGCTTAATCTTCGCGCTAAGCGCTTTTTCGAAGGATGGATCCAGATCTTGGACCGGTCTGCCACGGAGTCAAGGACGTCAACCGTTGCTAGTGATTCGTAATTTTGTGCATTTTTTTTATGTGCAGCATCTAATGCGGCGGGTGAGATCTACTGTTGGCGTCGCCACGTAATGCGTTGCCACGCTGTATGAAATATCTTACACGATGTGGTGACGCAAGTAAAGTATCAGCCTATACATGTCCCACAGCTGGGCAAAGGCCTCCGTTGTACAGCCCCACTGCGGATTGGCGGACTTCACATATCTTCGAAATTTTTTTTTATTATTACTTCGAAAATATGCAGGTTTCCTCACGATGTTTTCCTTCGCCGCTGAGCAAGTGATAATTCGGCACTTTAAATTAACAATTTCAATGGTTACACCGGGATCGAACTCGGGTTGCTCGAGTATATTGAATTAAAGGCGAGCACCCGGACACTGAGCTTTCACGGCCATAGTGATGTACAAGGAAGTTTATTGAATTTCTAATTTTTGTATTAAATCAATGCAAATTTTTATTAAATAAACAACCGTCATATTATATAAAAAAATCAAATTATTTTATTTTGGATTATGCCATATACAATGTGGCGCTACTACCGCGACCTTAAATAAACACACATATAAAGGATAACTTTTTAACTTGTATTGAACATTTATTTTTACTAAACATCAATATTTAGAGTTATTTAATTTTCCAAAACAAACAATTTTAGAACAACCCTACATATAAAACTGTAACCTAAAGTCCATTAGTAAAGTTTACCAAAGATTTGAATTGGTTAGATGAATTTAAAAGAGATGAAAATATTGTTAGAAGGAGAGATTTGTTAATAGATGTTGCGGCAACAAATGAAAAATTCTCTGAATGTATGAATCAGTCCGATGTTACAAATTTTGTTTCATTTTTACTTAATTAGTTCTTTTCTTAATTATGGATTTTTAATGTTTAGCAAGTAGCATTAGAGGTGTGTTCATTTAAGGTCGCTGTTATAACACCATGCTGTATATTTAAAGGAGGATATATGTAAAGGTGCCAACGCATCTGCAACCCTGCGGGTGTTATCACACGGGCGGGTTACCACTTAACATCGGGTTCAACGACCGGCAGCCCGCTTGCCACCTTCTCGAACCAGGGCGGGCGGTTACCGATCACCAGGTTTTACCGAGCACCAGGTTTCTCGAACCAGGGCGGGCAGTTACCGATCACCAGGATTACCGAGCACCAAGTTTCTCGAACCTGGGCGGGCGGTTACCGATCACCCGGTTTTACCGAGCACCAGGTTTCTCGAACCAGGACGGGCGGTTACCGATCACCCGGTTTTACCGAGCACCAGGTTTCTCGAACCAGGACGGGCGGTTACCGATCACCAGGTTTTACCGAGCACCAGGTTTCTCGAACCAGGACGGGCGGTTATCGGTTTTACCGAGCACCAGGTTTCCGAACCAGGACGGGCGGTTACCGATCACCCGGTTTTACCGAGCACCAGGTTTCTCGAACCAGGACGGGCGGTTATCGATCGGTTTTACCGAGCACCAGGTTTCTCGAACCAGGACGGGCGGTTACCGATCACCAGGTTTTACCGAGCACCAGGTTTCTCGAACCAGGACGGGCGGTTACCGATCACCCGGTTTTACCGAGCACCAGGTTTCTCGAACCAGGACGGGCGGTTACCGATCACCCGTTTTTTACCGAGCACCAGGTTTTTCGAGCACCAGGAACCAGGACGGGCGGTTACCGATCACCCGGTTTTACCGAGCACCAGGTTTCTCGAACCAGGACGGGCGGTTACCGATCACCAGGTTTTACCGAGCACCAGGTTTCTCGAACCAGGGCGGGCGGTTACCGATCACCAGGTTTCTCGAACCAGGGCGGGCGGTTACCGAGCACCAGGTTTCTCGAACCAGGGCGGGCGGTTACCGACCGCCAGGATTAACGAGCACCAGGCGAACCGGCAGCCCGCCTGCCACCTTCTCAATCCAAAAAGAGGATACAGGTCGTCGTCGTCGATGAGGATGTCCATCTCGCGGGCCGCCTTCTGCCGCCAGCCGGCCGCTGCGGCGGAGCGGCGGCGGCGCAGCGCCAGCGCCTCCACCTCCCTGGCGAGGGCGACGGGCTCCTTGGCCGCGGCGAGGCCCCGCTCCGGCACGGGGAACGTGGCCGGCTCGCTGGCTGCGGGGGGGTTGAAACTGCCGCTTGCAAAACACTGCCCTCGCCTTACGTACATCATTGGGATTGGGGGCGGTACGCTAGAATAATACGTACGAACGGCCGGCTGCGAGTCGGACCCGCGCACGGAGGCTCCCGTACCGTTATCTATGAAAACGGCAAAGGATCATGTCCGCTGTATCGGAGCCCCACTTTGATATACGAACGGACGGACATAAGGACGGACAGTGAGAAATAGACAGACAGACAGACAGACAGCGCAGGAGTATTAGTAATAGGGTCCCGTTTTACCCTTCGGGGCTATTTTAATGTTTTTACGATGGTTGTACAAAAAAGTATAACGGTGAAGGTAAATTAATGGATTCTATGGAATTAGAAAGATAGACCATCAATCAAAATTGCACCCTCACGCATTCTGTTAAGAACCGCCAAAAGTTTGTCAAGCCTTGTACAAAATTCAAGGCCAAACTTTAGGATGTCATTGTAAATAATCAACCGGTGATCAGTACAGATCGCACCCACACGAATTGTGACAAACATTAATCTTAATTTAATTCACGGACATCAAGAGAAACTGTACCCTAACGTGATGCAATAGAGTTTAAATTTGTCAAGCAATGCGCAAAGACGACCAAATGGCAATAAAGAAAAGAGGATTCCGTTCGAATCCCATAGAGTAGTTTGACATTATTATAGCAAATCGTACCTTAACAAGTCGGAATAGAACTCACTTTTGTTCAACGTGCGGCAGAGCTTGGCGTATGTATACGCCTCGGAGGGTTCCATCATCAGGATCGTCAGGCCCTCCTTGTTCGCCCTAGCCGTTCTGCCGCTTCTGTGGACGTAATTCTGGAAAGGGATAAAAGACAATACCAAGAGAGACAATGATATGTTGTTTCAATCCACGCTGAATATATATAATACGTGTTTGTCTAAATATATAATATAACTACTAAAAAACTGCTAATAATAATATTAACATTACTAACGACTACTAAGTTTCTTTACTAGGATGAAGGTTAAGCGTATAAAGGTTGTACGGAGTAAAAATTGTCGCTAGAGAATTTCGAAATGTCAGAATTTGATAAATTTCGAACGAACGGTCCAAATTTCGACCAAAAGACGACTACTATACAGGGTGATTTTATAGACGACGGACATATTAACAGAGCATATGCAGAATTTGATTCAAAATTTTTCAATTTCATTCATTTCAAATTCATTTTTTTTTTCAAAGATTATTTTTAATTTTTTCAAATATTAGAAATTCCCGCCTTAGCCTATCAATACAATAACCTATTCACGAACACTAAACTGTTCGCTGAACGCATAATTACTAAACCGCTTATCAATAGGGTGACCATTCTTAACGATATAATAATAATAAACAAACAACGTTTGAATTGATATTCTCCTGGTTATTTCCTGTCAAAAATAAATAAATATTTAAATTTTTTTTTTGAATTATGGAATGCTCAATTGACATTATGCCAAAGTATGTACTTCGTCCAAAAAATCATCTTGTATACACTGTACTACAGGGTGGCTTTTCTAAGTGTATCCATTTTTTTATTAAATTATAGACACAAATAATGTTATATAAAAAATGATAAATATTTAAAATCACTAGTAAGTAATTGATTACATTCATTTGAACTTATCTCAAAGAGTGCGTCATTTATACGCAACTCATTTATTTTACGCGCGATCATTCATAACTAACACGCACACAAGTTTGTGCACAGTAAAATTTAGCTATTTATGAATGACTAACGCATTGTCAACACGTTCTGTTTTTCAGGGAATAGAATGGCATTATTTTTTTGGAAAAAAAAAAAAACTTTGTTTCTAATTTCAATAAACCAACTGAAACTTCTGTGTAAATTTGGGTACTTCCCAAAAAATCCCCCTGTATAAGCAACGTGTGGCGACCGAAGGCGAACACTGAAGGTCTGGCATGTTCGCCTGGTAGAACACGTAGATTGTTACGCGATTAAAGGTCCGGACCCTGGACGTTTGGGCTCACCTCGGCTAAGCAACGTGTGGCGACCGAAGGCGAACACTGAAGGTCTGGAATGTTCGCCTGGTAGAACACGTAGATTGTTACGCGATCAAAGTTTGGGCTCACCTCGGCGGTCCTCGGCACCTGGTAGTGCACCACGTGGTCCACGTCGGGCACGTCCAGGCCGCGCGCCGCCACGTCCGTCGCCACCAGCAGCCCGCGGGGGTCGTCGCGGAACCTGGTGCCAGGTACGTCAGTCCGGGGCCGTTGACCCGACGTCGTGAGGGTCCGATAGGGCCCCGGTTATTTAGCCAGATAGACGCCTTAAGTTACCCAGTCGAAGTCAGAGTCGAATCTTTGTTTAATATAGGCCTAACTTGAACTCTTATTGAACGTCAACAAAAAAAATCTACAACCGGTTCACTAAACTAGACCTGCACAGAGAAGAACCGGCAAGAAACTCTGTGGTCTTGCTCTTTTTGTTATTTTTTTTTTTTTGATGCAATATATATACACACTTATTTAGGTACAAAATCAGCTATAACTTGTTATTTATGATCAACATTTTTAATTTTATCGTCCCTTTCGTATTTTTTTTTACTAACAGCCTGTTTCAAATTTCTATCTATCTGTAGATTTGGTTACTGGAATGAGAATTTTGCCGTAAGTATTATGGAACTAACGTCAAATACCCATCGCTGGTGACCCATCCTACAGATAGAATATTTAAACAGGCCGTAAATCATTTGTGTTACTTTGCATTATGACCTATCATATGAACATATTATCACATTACGTACCAGGAGTAGAATATATTTTTAAACGGTTTTATTTAGCTCGACCCGTACGGAATTTATTTGTTTATTTATTTGGGTCAAAATTAGAAATTGAAATTTAAGCACCTTCCCGTTGTCAGATTGATCTTAAATTTGGTACGCACATTTAATTTAGATGACAATACAATATTGTCCGTTTCAGTGCACATAAAATAAAACCGTTTAACTTTAAAGTTTTTAAACGGTTTTATTTTATGTGAGGTAGCAAACGAGTTGGTAGATCACCCGATTTTAAGTGATAACCGTCGCCCATGGACATTTGCAACACCCGTAGGGTTGCGGGTGCGTTGCCGCCTTTTAATAAAGTGGGCCCCGGCTACCTCACTCACTGGACCAAACGCAGAAGCATAACACTTCCACATCACGCCGGTCTCCTGTGAGGTGGTACTTCCCCGGAAGGACCTGCCCGTTGCTAAATCTGGGAGTTCCATGTAGTCACAGATAATGCTTCTGAAATGTCGGCTTTAGGTCGTATAGAGATCATTTGGGGGCGGAGTTGGTCACATGTAAGGTTTGAGGTCGTATAGGAGTCATTTAGGGGCGGAGTTAGTCAGATGGAAGGCTTGAGATGGTATAGGGGTCATTTAGGGGCGGAGTTAAAATCAGATGGAAGGCTTGAGGTCGTATAGGGGTCATTTAGGGACGGAGTTAAAGTCAGATGGAAGGATTGAGGTCGTATGGGGGTAATTTAGGGGCGTAGTTAAAGCCAGATGGAAGGCTTAAGGTCGTATAGGGGTCATTTAGGGACGGAGTTAAAGTCAGATGGAAGGATTGAGGTCGTATGGGGGTAATTTAGGGGCGTAGTTAAAGCCAGATGGAAGGCTTAAGGTCGTCGTATGGGGGTAATTTAGGGGCGTAGTTAGAGCCAGATGGAAGGATTGAGGTCGTATGGGGGTAATTTAGGGGCGTAGTTAAAGCCAGATGGAAGGCTTAAGGTCGTATAGGGGAGATTTAGGGGCGTAGTTAAAGCCAGATGGAAGGATTGAGGTCGTATGGGGGGATTTTAGGGGGCGAGGGGCGTAGTTAAAGTCAGATGGAAGGATTGAGGTCGTATGGGGGTAATTTAGGGGCGTAGTTAAAGCCAGATGGAAGGATTGAGGTCGTATGGGGGTAATTTAGGGGCGTAGTTAAAGCCAGATGGAAGGCTTAAGGTCGTATGGGGGTAATTTAGGGGCGTAGTTAAAGCCAGATGGAAGGATTGAGGTCGTATGGGGGTAATTTAGGGGCGTAGTTAAAGCCAGATGGAAGGCTTAAGGTCGTATGGGGGTAATTTAGGGGCGTAGTTAAAGCCAGATGGAAGGATTGAGGTCGTATGGGGGTAATTTAGGGGCGTAGTTAAAGCCAGATGGAAGGCTTAAGGTCGTATGGGGGTAATTTAGGGGCGTAGTTAAAGCCAGATGGAAGGATTGAGGTCGTATGGGGGTAATTTAGGGGCGTAGTTAAAGCCAGATGGAAGGCTTAAGGTCGTATCTAGATCTTGGGTCACCTCTCGAGGTTCTTGAGGCGCTGTCTCTGTGGCATGCTAGCGTGCAGTGGGAGGGGCCCGCACCGCAGCAGAGTGAGCAGTTGCGACAACCTGCAAGACGAAAGTACACCAGTTTATTTACTTAATCGTCGAAGAGACGAACTCGACGTCTTAATAGCTACTGATAAACATAGTGCGTATAAGAGGAGAACGGTTACCTTTTCTCGTAATAAAAATAACAATTAGATGATTGTTTTAAAGTTTAAGGTTGTGGTGTTAAACGTATGTTATGATCCGTTCCAGTTATATTGCTAAAATTTATACTCATATTTCTCCAATTAACACTCGACGATTATTAAATTCGTTAAATTTCAATGTTTTTTGTGTTATGTGTAAACACTATTTTTTTTTCTTTTAAAAAACATTGCCCTTACTGTGGGATAACATTATCCTGTGTTTTAAGAGCTTTACAGCCGATCTATATTCCGAAACAACTATCTGTGGGTCACAAAATACTTATCCCGTGTGGGAATCGAACCCAGGACGCCCGGCGCCGAAGCTAATACCTTGACAACTGCACCACGCAGTCATCAAAATGTATTATTATTTTTCTATCTTTATTTTTTCACCTTCTCACGCTACCAATGGAGTTGCAGAACACGATGGTCCTCCCCGGATGATTCTTCAGGATGTAGTAGAGATATATATCCTTGTTCTCTAGGGAGCACGCTATGCGGCATTCGGTGAGCGTTTCGGCCGCGCCTGAAAGTTACGTCACGGTGTGATTGAGGCCTCGGCAATTGGTTAAGCGACGGTGTGATTGAGGTCTCTCTCGTTGTTTACGTGGAGGTGTAAATGAGGTCCCAATCATTGTCACGTTAAGGTTTAATATAGGTCTACCTCATGATTTACGTCACGGTTTTGGAGATCATTTTTTTTAAACAACTTTCTCTAGTCCCAAACTAAGCAACTCTTGTACTATGGGTACTAGAAAACTGATAAACATACTTAAACATACTTTTCTTTTGTAATTAAATACATATGATACATATATAAACACCCAGACACTGGAAAAACACGATGCTCATCACACAATATTTTTCCAGTAGTGGGGATCGAACCCACACCCTCTGGCGCAGGAGGCGGGGTCACTACTCCTCACGCCAATCGGGTCGTTTAATAGACGATGTTAGACGAAAGGCAATTTAGAGGTCGCTTTATTTTTAGGTTCAGTATTTATTTTCATTATAATTGTATAAGACTAAAATTAAATGGGAAAAATAAATATGACAAAATATAAACTAGAATATAGCAAGAAAAAAACAAAAATGGCGTCAGTAGAGCCAAGAAATAATAAGATTAATCTGAATCCATTCACTAGCAGTGCCTAGTTACGTTTTAAACATTTCGTGTAGCAAAATATTTAGGTGTTTAAATATTTATATGTATATTTTGTTCACTGTTTCCTTCATTTCGTTAACGATTTCTTCCATACTAAATATCTTACCCAAGTTCTGCTTCGTTATATCGACGACCTTGGGGTCGGTCATACCGATCATAGTGACCAGCCGTTTGACCTTCTGTTCTGGGGTCATCTTCTCTATTCTCCTGTTCAAAATCTTCCCGCGTTTCGTAACCTGTAATAGTGGTACAGAAATGGTTTGTTTTAATAATTCTTGAATAGTTTATGAAGTAGTGTTTATTCCATAATAACGAGAGCTTAACCATGAGATATACATATATATATTTTTTCTTTTTAAAAAAACTTTGCCCTTAATGTAGGATAACATTATACTGTGGTGTAAGGACGTTAACACCCAGATGCGAAACAACTATCTGTGGGTCACACAAACAGTTGTCCCGTGTGGGGTTCGAACCCACGACTCGAACGAAGGCAATACCTTGGCGACTGCGCCACGGAGTCTTCTTGTTTATTTAATACTAGCTGCCGCCCGCGACTACGTCTGCGTAGAATAGGCTGAAGGCCTAACATTCAGACAGAAAGACAGATATACATAAAATATGTATATAAACTATAGCCTATGTGTTATTCTGATGTATTCGCTATATTATTGTAAAGTTTCATTAAAATCCATTCAGTAGTATTTGCGTGAAAGAGTAACAAACATCCATGCATACATACAAACTTTCGTACTTATAATATTAGCAAGGATAGTAAGGACTAGCGGACCCAACAGGTGACACTTCGTAAAATCCGTTCTTAGCTGACCTCTAATCGTCGAAAGGAACATTCCTACCAAACTTCAAGTGATGAGTCAATTATCGGTGGAAATCACTTATTTATAATATCCTATATAATATAATATATACAATATTAATGATATAAAGGATAAAAAGTCCTTGTAATAATCGTGGTTTAACGATTGCAGAGCATCTCCCACCTTCTTGCCCCTCATGTGGTTGGGCAGGTCGTGGACCAGGGTGAGGGTGGCGGAGAACACGAAGTTCTGTCTCGTGCTGCGCCGAGCTTCGTCCACGTTGAGCCGCTCCAGAAGTGGGTGCAGCTCCTCGAAGTGGCCGCGCTCCACCATCCTGTCCGTCTCGTCGATAGCCAGGAACCTGTTCGTCGTTTTTTTTCATCTTAAACCAGCGATCCGCCCCGGCCTCGCGCGGATGCAATGTATTATACATACAAACCCTCCTCTCGAATCACTCTATCTAGTAAAAGGAACAGCATCAAGGTCCGCTGCGTAGTTTTAAAGATGTAAGCATACATGGTGATAGTGAAGACGGCAATCGAACTGGCGGTTCACCTGATGTTAAGCGCACAATGATACTACCAAAAATTTTATATGACTTCGACATTAAACCCGATTTCGATATTTGACATGAGCTTACGTCAAAATACTGTCTCCTGTTACCGAATCTATCTGTAGATTGAATGTTGAAACGAAATATAAATGAAGCCAGCATTCGGCTTATTTTCGTAATGGCGAAACAAAGTGCACTGCAATTAGGTTAGAGTTGAGATAGCTCACTTAACGGAGGACAGCTGCTGGAGGTGAGGTTGCCCTTGGGTTATCAGCTCCCACAGCCTCCCAGGAGTGGCGACCACCACCTCGGGGCCAGAGCGCAGGACCCTCTCTTGCTTTACGGACGCCATGCCGCCCACAATCGTGGCAATCTTGATGCCTAAACATCAGATTCACGTTCAAACTCCCTAAACCGTGTCTAAGAGGCTTATAATCGAAACAACGTCTAAGCATCCGTACAGTTGCGTAATTGCAATTGCGTAGTCTTTTTAAGATAACGCCGTGGCGCAATTGCCAAGGTATTGGCTTTGGCGTCAGGGGTCGCTAGTTCGATTCTCACACGGGACACCTATTTATTATAGTAGTATAGTATATAGATAGTTATTTCGCATCTGGGTGTAATTTAAGTTTGTTGTTGTTTTGTTTATCCACGTGAAATTTAAGTTTGTAAAACGTCCTTACAACACAGGATAATGTGAACCTAAAGTAAGGGCAATGTTAAAAAAAAAGAATTTAAGAGCGGGCATCTAACCACAACCTATTGCGCTAGGGTAAAAATCACTGTCCACATACAAGTCAATCAGGTCATTGAAAAAAAAAAACAGTAACAATTTAAAAACTAGGAAGAAATCGGATTATCTTTATGTTCCATTCAAACAGTTTAAAAAGTTTAATCCTAATACTAATAATTATGTAGTATGAAATTATTACAATGGGACAAGAGAGAAATGGAAAATATAGAATTAACGGTAGTTATAACTAGAAATAGTTATTAGCACTAGGATTAGACTTTTTGTAAGAGTGTCCGAATTAATGAGTATTTCAGTACATACCCGTGTATTTAGCGGCAGCTATAAGATGCCTGCTGATCTGTATGGCCAACTCCCTTGTTGGTGTTAGTATCAATGCAAAGAGAGGTTTTCCAGTTCTAACCTCCACATTCCCAGGCATCTCTACATCATCGACAACCTTTACACAGCCAATGCCTGAGAAAAACAGTGGTTTTAATAATTACTCTGGTAACTCTAGTAAGATTAATTCTGTGCCTCCTGTGATACAAGTCGAAAATCAACATTTTACAGGCGAGCGAAAACAAGATTTAAAAAATTCTAGTCCATGAAGTGGATAGACTAGGACAAAACTTTGGACACACTCATATAGATTATAACATTCTCTTTCATCCTATATTACAGTTTTGTTAAAAAACTTTATCAGTAATTCTAAAAAAACATTTGAATTGCACAATAATAATATAATATGTAAAATATTTGCAAAGATGTGTTACATGATATAAGTAGAGTTAAACCATGTTGCACCTTAGTATAGTCATTGTGAAAACTGATATATGTATAGTATAAAAACAAAAATAACTTATTAGAATATCTTCCTATCATAATTTAAAGGTGCCTGGATACTTTTGTAACCATTAAGGTGATATCACAAAAAATGTTATCTAGATGTGATATTTCATCGGGTATTCCCCAAACTAGTATCATTGTGTATAAGTAGTATCATTGGGTATTCCGAATACTAGTATCACACGCCGCTCGTATCCGAAGGTTAAAAAGTGAATTAATTCTGACCACATATTGCTTATTGCAACGTATTTTTCAATGCATTCTTCGTTCATTTACAAGTTTGTAAAACTGTATTTTGATTTTGTAGAGTAAAAATGTTACCTTTTTCATCAACTTCGTCCACTCCATCAGTTTCCTCGCCAACCTCTTCGTTGGCAACTCCATTTGTACCAGTGTCAGCCGCTTCATCATCGCTCGTATCAACCAAATCATCCGAATCCAACATTTCAGATAGGCGTATGTATTTACCATCTTCATCACTGTCGTTCCCTTCATCAACGGATATCTCCTTTTTCTTTATAGGCACTTCATATTCTTCCAGGTACACTTCTTCATTTTTACCATCTTCCTTGTTTTCTTTGGAAGCTTCACTGTCAGCGCTGCTGTAGCCATCTTCAGAAGACTCTTTCTTCTGCTCTACCTTACACTTTTTGTTCACACGTTTCCTTTTTACAATTTCCTTGGAATCTTCTACTTTGTTTTTCCTTTTAATGGATGTCTTTTTGTATGGAATGTCGTACACATCCAACCCGGTTTTACCTTTCTCTTTTAATTTCATAATTCCAGATAGGATTGGTAGGCCAAAGGCTAGAGTTTTCCCACTACCAGTCTCAGCAGCACCGAGAATGTCTCGACGACCTATGGAAGCAAAATGAAAATTATATTATGTTGTTCATTGATGAGTCGAATTTCTAGCATGAAACGGCAGAAAATCACAGAGTTAGAATACAATTTATGAACTATTGGGTATACACTGTGTATAAACAAACACATATACAACTGAGATAATTTTTAGCCTTTATAATGTAACATTATTTTCAAAACCAGCCTTAGTAATATTCATATAGGAAAAGAAAATAGTAATGGTCTATTTTTAATATCATTATGAGTTATTCAATTAAATTGAACTTATATGGAATGTGTTTAAATTCTTTGTCAAGTATGGTGAGTTTGAAAATAATGGTCGGCAATAGCAAAAGGGTGGTACATCTGCAATATTTTTTAAATAAAATTCTTACCATGAATGGCTGCTGGTAATGTTAGCTGCTGTATTTTTGTTGGCCTTTTAAATCCTAATTCTGCTAGTGCCCTGACAATCTCTTCGGGTAATTTGAACTCTGCCCAAGACAACATGTCTTCAGCTGATAAATGAGAACTTGTTTCTGATATATCACCAAGTTTACGTTTTTTTCCTTTCACCAATTTGTTTGTACATAATGATTCTTTCTCTGCATTCCCATTTCCTTCTCTTATAGTCTGTTTATTTAGGGACGTAGTCTCATTTGTAAGAGACGGTTTTTCAATATTACACACCTCAACAATAAATCCATTGTCGAGTTTTACTTTAGTATTTGGTATTACTGATTTTTCTTTTAAAACTGGGACATGGCTTACATTTTTTTGTTTGTTTGATACTTTTGATACTTTTTTCTATAAAATAGTAATCATTAATAAACATTTCAATATCAATATTATTATTCATTATCGGATTATGTATATATTTTAGTAATTGTTTACATTAGCAGCACTTTTTATATTTAGTAGTTGTTAAGAATTGATACTTATTAATTATTGTTTCTAATATGTTTCTCTATGGATTAAACATATTTGTATAGAAAAATTGAGCCTGCCTCTAATGTAAACAATTACCTATTTTTTGTGAAATTAATCGACAAATAAAGCAGATTAAAACAAAAAGCTATGTATTAGTTAGCAAAGTTATTAAAGAACTTTAGATGAATGGAAATAATATTAAATTATTTTCCTTAATCATTATACATAAACAGTTTGATAAAAATAATCGCGAAGAAAACCACAAATTATAACACTACTTGCTAAAATCATAAAAAAAAAAGTTGAGTATTTTAACTAACAAAAAAATTAAGACTAGGAGGGTAATTTAAAACTTACTTTCTTTGATTTTTTCCTATCCCTATCTAGACCATAATCCGTACACTCCTCGAGACCAACGAAGCCCTTAAGTTTATCTGTTATTGACACAGGAAATCCTTCCACAGGAACCGATTCCCATTTTAAAGTTTTAAACTTCTTAGACATTTCGGACATTCTATGTAGGTAGATGCTATTTTTACCAGATTGAAAACTGTATTGTGAATTGTATGCAATTGAACGCTGTAATGATAAAAACCAACAATAAAATCAAATTGATCACTTATTGAAATGGCCTGGCGTGAATTTGACACTGACAAAAAATTATGACTAGGATATATTATAAAAAATCAATATCTACTTGAAATAAACATCCCTTTGTGCAAATCAAACTCAAGTAATTGCAAAAAATAACGTATTAATGATATAAACAATGTTGACTACTAGTATGATATTTTTATGTGAAAAGATGGCAACTTATCCATAAATATTTGCAAAACCCGTAGCGTAGGGCTACAAATGGATTACCACCTTTTAATGTAATGGACTCCGATTGCTTTACTTAACAGACGAAATCCAGAAGTATAATACTTCCACTTCACACCGTAAAGCCAGTCCTAAACATATGTGCAAATTAAAACATGTAGAAAAAGTACGAAAAGATTGTCGCCGCTGTGGGAATCGAACCCACGTCTTCGGCATTCGCGGCCTGACGCTCTAGCCACTGAGCTAAACGGCTGATAGCCACAGCAACGAAAATGTAACGCCTTCCTTGCTGTTACTTAGCATTTGAAGTATAAACTTCCATACAAACGTTTAGCTAAATTTATATGTGCAAATGTTTTTCAAAATAGGTAATTCGGGTTCGTTCATACGTTCGGGTCGTTCCCTGGGTGCTTCTGAATCCGAATTTATTTTATTTTATTTGGTACATAGAACAGCAAACAATACAATAATCTTAATAATGGCAACTTATACACACTGTCCGCCAAAAATATATGTACACATAGCCTACATGCTTCGATATCAGTAGACAACTTATAAATTTAAAAAAACGAAAGATAAAGGTATTGAAAGTAACTAAATAAAAAGTAAAAAAAATAAAAACATTATGTGCCTCGAATACTTCGTTTGAATGCACTCGGCTTCTGATGAAATATATCTACTGATTCAACAATGGTTGTAAGTTCGGTGTAGTACAAGGAACACATTCAAGAGATGGGGTTATTTTGGGCAAATTTGGTAGATGATAATGGAATATAAAATAATTTGGCATTGCGACGATAGTTTGTATTCATGCCTATTTTAGCTAATAGCTCAGAATGGGCCACTGAGTTAACAATTTTGTACAGAAGTACCAAAGAACAATGCTGCCGTCAGTTTTCTAGGGTATCAATTTTAAAATATTTTAATCGTCACTCATAGTCAGGCAAAGTTCTCTTAAGTCGAGATATGTGTCATTTTAAGTACTCTTTTTTTGAACTTGTTCTAACCTAGAAGAAGAATTGCGTAAAAGGTGACCAAATTACCTAAGCAGATAACCCTAGTGAGATATATAAAAAAATAATACATTTTGGGGATTTGAAATCTTTACTTGCTCTGAAGATAAAACTTATTCTGGTAACGATCGTTCCGTTTTCTTACAAGTCCACTTGCTGTCCACGAGTATTACTCCTAATTGTCAAATTGGTGTTTTTCTTCCAATGGACAGTGTGTTCCGGCGAAAGCGAATTCACACTTGAGCTTTGAACGAAATATAATTTGCGTAAACCAAATTTAATTTTAATAGGGAAGTTTTGAATTCCAGTCAAGTTTATTTAGTTGTTCTTTGAAATCAAGAAGCCAACCCATAATCGACAATGGACAGCCTGGGATTGTGCTAGCATAATTTTACTTGGAATGGGAAGAAAAGAACGTAAGTAGTTAGTATTAAACCGGCCAGGCACAACGGTCCTTATGAGCGTGACTGACAGGGAAAAGTTAGGTCAGGGGCGCAAATCTTAGGACTCCCCTCTTGACACTTAGATAAAATCCTCGATAGGATAGAGTCACTCAAGACCGACGTGACGGCGATCTCCTATGTCACGTCACACATCCAAATAGTTGTCGGAGACTGTTCCGATTCAATCGAACTGCCGCAAGAAAAGAACCTTAGGCCACTTTTGCGGGAGAAAAAAATCAGCGATCCGTGCTTTAGATCGATATCGGAATGACGTAAGACGCTCCAGGTTACGCCACATCCAAAGAGAGGTCAAAAAGCACATGCAGGAGCTAATGAGGAAAAGTTCAAGTCTGGTTGCGATATTTAATGCACGCTGCGCCTTCTATTCTATTAGCAAGTTCAACGGATGGTTCAACATGTATAGGAGCATACAAATATTTAATCTTTGCTCGCTTTCATGTGCATTGAAAATTAATAAATAAAATAAGAAATATTTTATTTATAGTAATATAATAATATAATAGTACAAAAATTCTTTCCCTAATTGTTCATCATACGCGAACTACACAACACAAGCCATTGAAAAATAATGCTAGGCTACAAGAAAATCCAACAATATTTGATAAATCTATCTCTCATAAAGTTTTGGATATTTTTTATAGTATGTAGCAAAATAAAAAATCCAATCCCAATTTTAAGTAGTTATAGCTTCTGTGCTTCGTCATTCAGAGATCGTAGAGAAAAAAATAGCACGCTGCCGCTGCAACCATAGATTAAAAGGAGGGAGGAAGTTTGTGAGTGATCGATTTTACACCGGCCTCCTAAAAACTTCACAACGGCATTTCTCTTTGTTTGCCATTACGCGCGACAATTTTGAAACAGAAGTATCGAGTCAGTGCCGCATTACTAAAATGGCGAACACGTTTCGCGGGGTGACGGTGTCCACCGTCAACAATGACGGTGCCCTAACGCCGCGGTTCAATTTTCCTACAAACGTAAACGTGGATTACGATCCCCAAGGGCTAAGTGTTAAAGTGATTCGTGCCGACCCCGTACTAGCTCAAGAAGTGTTAGAATTTCCCGTCCACAATCAGAGTGAGTGTTCGCGAGTAGCAGCCCAGTCATACATATTCACGATCGACAATGAAACCTTGTTTTTCAAATTCGCTTCGGACTCTGATTGTCAGAATTTCCATCTGCTGGTCAGCAAAATTAAAGCGGGACGCTCGTCAAGCGTATTCACCGTGCGCACGGAGGACTCTTCAGCGTTGCAGTACTTCCAGTTTTACGGTTACCTAAGCCAGCAGCAAAACATGATGCAGGACTATGTCAGGACTAGCACGTACCAGCGTGCCATTTTGTCAAATATCAACGACTTTAAAAACAAGGTTGTGTTGGACGTTGGCGCGGGTTCTGGTATTTTGTCATTTTTCGCGGCACAGCTGGTGCGAGGAAGGTGTATGCAGTCGAAGCTAGTAATATGGCGCACCACGCTCAGTCCTTGGTACGAGCTAATGGGCTGCACGACCGTATCACCGTGGTTGCTGGCAAAATAGAGGAAATCGAGATACCAGAATGGGTAGACATTATTATTTCCGAACCGATGGGCTATATGTTGTATAATGAAAGAATGCTTGAAACGTATTTACACGCTAAGAAGTGGCTCAAACCGACTGGCAACATGTATCCAACGCGCGGAGATCTTCACATAGCCCCGTTTACTGATGACGCCCTATTTATGGAACAGTATAATAAGGCAAATTTCTGGTATCAAACTTGTTTCCATGGAGTGGATTTGAGTGCTTTACGTACTGCAGCAATGAAGGAATATTTCAGGCAGCCAATTGTTGACACATTTGATGTCCGCATTTGTATGTCTAGATCCGTTAGACACGTAGTGGACTTTCTGAACGCTAATGAAACTGACCTTCACCGTATTGAAGTGCCTTTTAGATTCGAGCTTACACAGTCTGGAACTTGTCATGGCCTCGCGTTTTGGTTTGATGTACTATTTGCAGGCAGTACACAGCATATCTGGCTATCGACAGCCCCAACGGAGCCTTTAACACATTGGTACCAGGTTAGATGTCTGTTAGAGACACCGATATTTGCTAAGCAGGGTCAGGCGCTCACTGGCAGAGTATTACTGCTAGCCAATAAGAGGCAGAGCTATGATGTCACTATGGAGATTAATCTGGAAGGTACAAATATATCATCCTCGAACACGTTAGACTTGAAGAATCCATACTTCAGGTACACTGGAGCACCGGCTGCTCCACCTCCGGGAGTTAACACAACATCCCCAAGTGAATCATACTGGAACGCAATTGACACAACAGGTGGCTTAAGCAACGGGCAGGTGATACTAGCAGATGCCACACAGCAATATTGCTCAACTCCAGATAAGACTATTGCTTATGGGGCTCATCCAAACATGATCAAGACGGTCATGCTACAAGAGGAGTTTATCAAGAGGATTGGAATCAGTCAAAATGGTGACATATAATCCGAGAAGACGCGCCGTGCGCGCCTTAGGGCTTTAAGGAACCGTCATAACCGGTTGTGAACTTTCTTCCGTTCGAACATTGTAGTGTTAAGCAGACTTATTTATTTACAAAGAGAGCATCACAGTTTTTTTGTCTAAAACAGGGGACTAATCTTTGTGCGTGTCCAATAAGGGACTCTGTAATCGTGTATGACTTTAGTTGTTTCTTTGTATGCATCTCCATAAGACTATCGCGGTGGCGATGCAATTAACCCTTTTCGGAAAGCATTTTGTTAATGAGATGTTTTTACGACGCTTATTAGTGTAATTTGAATTGTAATAGAGATTGCTTTAATTGATTTTTGTAAATATAACCCCACCCTCCCTGACGATTTGAACAAAACTGTTGTTCCGAAAGGGTTGACTGCTCTGGCTATGGCAGCTCCATAGCTGTAAAATAAACAATCGCTGTCATTGTTAAAATTTTTGCAAAGTATGAAGTTAAAATTAGAATTGAAATAAAGACGTAAGTTTTATATGTTAAACCATGTTAGTCTAGAACATTCTAAAATAAGCAAACCACAGTTCCTTAAACCTATCATAAAAGATTTGTGCAATGACAGCCAAGTTTTTTATATTATATTAATTAAGTAACTTAGAAGTTGCAAGTACACCTAGGTTTAAGCAATAAGTGCTGAATTTTAGAGGATAATGCCTAACATTGTCAATACTCATTTATCATAATTAGATGCCCTGGTCTTAGGTTGAATATAAGTAATATACAATGTTAGAGAACTGCAAACATTTTTGTAAGTTTTGATACAGAAAACTGTCTGCCTATCATCATATAGATTGTGGATTACAACTAGGATCTGATATTGGTCATCATGATGTATATCTAGTTATGTCCTATTGCTCTTGAGACTAGAAATCAATTGAATCATGTGTTTTTTTTAAATTGAGTAAATTTTATTTTGTGCTAATGGCTTCTAACTAATCTTAGTTTAAAAAATTACAAGGCACTGGCACTAATATTGTCGCATAGACAGTAGATTCGGCCTAAATATTTAAATATTTAACAATTATATATTGACAATTTTATAAACCAGGTATAAATATTTCTTATTTTTTTTGCATTAATACATCGTGATATATTAAGAGGAAATTCCATATTATTATTCCTATGAATCTATAACTAATTAATTAGTGCAGGTAACAATATCCTTGGCCTCATATTTATCATATAAATCTATATAACTTTTATCATATAAATCATATCATATTTTGTTAATGTGATTGTACAACTAATGTCTAAAATTAAATATGTCCCTTATATTCTGCATTATGAGCGTAGAAAAGCATAGAAACAACTGGCAGAACAGTATACATAATATTCCCTGAGGCACAATTTTGGTCTAGTCAGTGTTTACGCTATTCAATTATCACTTAGATTTCTCACTATAGTTATGTACATAAACTATGGAAATTAATGCATGACATATTTTAATAAGAACAAATTCATTGGGTATACGCAATCCTTAAACTCATCTTTGATAAATATCATGATTGTTATAATTTTTGTCAAGTAATTCTGTGGAAGTTAATTTTGTTACATACATTACATACAATTAAAATGAAGTAACATACATACAATTAGAATGCTTTTTAAAACTTGGCAGAATTAACAATACAAAGATTCAATGCAATTTATTATGTTTATACATTGTTCTTTAATTTAGCCCATATGCAATGCCTCAAAGCAAACATTTTTATTGGCCTTAATTGTTTAGATTACATTATTGGTTTGCACCAGTGCAAATGTCTTGTTCATAATACAAAACTTCGAACAAAGCAGCCATATTAGCATGAAATATTTCATGATTAAATATGCATTTATTATTTTATTGATTGCTTTGTGTAGTGACAAACAAAACATGATTAACAAAAGCTGGCTGTAATAAATATTTATGTATTCATGTTTTATAGTGAAGATAATAATGTGTGTCTCATGTATTATCACACTAACACTGACCAGTTTAATCCACAATCTTGCATCCTGTAGGTATTCCTGACTAATTTGTATCTCATGTATTTCGGTGCTGACCACTTAAGTCCTGCACAAGGTAAAAATAGTCATTGTGCAACTGTTCTACCTCACAACTTGGCAGACGGATTTTCGCAGTGGAACTTCTTTACGTTCTTTGAAATACAAACTGAGTAATAAGTTTCTTCTCCCACTCTTTCTCACTCGGACGGAGTATAAAGCAGAGGAGCGGAGTGTATAACATGCTCACCTTAAATTAAACATTAGATTTAAAATATATTGTAAAGATGTTTCTACTAAGCTACATCTTTTAGTCCCAAGTGGATAGATTTTCTTTTCGTTCGGATAGGGTTGCCACTTCGATTTTGTAACAGTCGCAATACATCTGTAAGGCTAATATGTGATAGGAAAAGCAATAATCGACCGTATCAATCGTTAATAATACGTGACATATTTGTAAATAGTTCAAGCCTTAAGGAAATAATTTGGTTTTGTAACGTATTTTGTGCTCGTATACAAGTGACTAGATTCAATGGCAAACGGTCTTTTTTATACATATGAAACGTCGGTTTTTTTTAATAGCTGGCAACCCTAAGACTAGTTCGCCTTAACCACTTGCCATTTTGTAACTATCGCGATTGAAAAATATTTAAGATTTTCTTAAAGGTGACTGTCTTAATACTTAGAATTAGTGACGAATAGGTCATCAATCTCAAGAAGAGTCCTTAATCGTAACGTATTTATGGTTCGATTTATAGTCTTGAAAAGCAATTAAAAGTAATTCAAACTGTATTCACAACAATGCTATTTTTATGTGGAAGCTCTTATACACAAAATTATCTTGTACGTCTAAAATTTTAAACATTCGAAATATTTGGTTCTGAAGAATTTAAGTTAAAAATTTAGCATAAAAAGAAATTAGTTTCAGTAACATTAATGTGAGTTCAACTTGAACGCGTAATGGCGGGAAAGTAGGCTCTGTTTATTGAATGCAGTGTTGTAGTTCGGAAGATGGCGCGATACGTCTTTCTCAGGGAGAATTATTCAGGCAGCCACGTCTAGTAACTATTGTTTCAAATAAGTGGCTTTATTTTTTGTCTCTTAGTCATATCGGGGTAGAGATATTTTGTAATATTGTTTTTTTTTTCTGTTTCGCTGACGGTCCAGAACGAGCCCAGTTGTTGGTGGACCGTAAGTGAAATTTGCGTAATTCTACGCATCCCGTTTTGCGTGGTAGCTCCGCGATCAGAACGAATAGTCTTTAAGTGTCATAATTTCTACTTATTTTTTTTTTGTATGCTGTGATCCCTTCGTAACGTGGCAATAAGTGACATGCGGTTGTAGGCTAAGGGTGCGCAGTGAGAGATAATGGGATGATTTCGGCGTGTTACTAATACCTAGCTTTGAATATGTTGGATTGTCGTCGTTATATTTGCGGTTTATCCGGGATCTGATTGTTCCTGATGCCTTTTGGGTAATTGGTTAATATATAATCATTTGATCAAATCGGTGGAGTCAGTTGTAAAAGCGTAAAACGTCATCATTGAAGTGGTCAAGCGCTAAAACTAGACCTTGATGGAAATAACTAAATGAAGAAATCGGATGACGTTAATAATCAAATTTCTTATTTTTTCACACTGTGAGGTTTTGACTGATTTTGTTACAATAACTCATGTTTTTGCTACAATGTTTTTAATATAAAAGGAGACAAGACTTTTAATAATATATTTGGAACGTATATTCCTTTTCTTTTCAGTCATAATGACACGTATGATGATTAGTTTCGAGTTGTCCTTAAAGCTTTATTAACATTGTTCGGAATTTGTAGAAACGCCGAATTAAGATGATCGTCTATAATAAAATAATCGCACACTATTATCCTTTTAAGTACGTTGTTGACCTTTTACTTTGACTGACTTCGCCTTGATCACATCTTTATAGCGGTTAAGTTGACTTTACGGAGCGGTCACAGCGAATTGTATTTAATGTACTAATCGGCATAGATTGATTTTACTTTCTTGTGTAAATAAAACAGTGTAATTGCTAATCGAGGCATCATGGTTGTGTCGAGACGGAACGATCGAAGCTGTATATGTTGCATTGAAATTGCTGTGAGCGTGTGTTCCAAATTTGGTTCTATTTTTTCTCTCTCTCGCGCGTTTCGTTCACCGCGTATTTTATAATTAATTGTGATTGTATCTTACGTTTTGTAACTGCGTATAATTATGTAGAACAATTTATTTTATATTTCGCCTCGCCAATATCTCGTTTAGCAATGACCGAGTGTTATCGTGACGGAATCGAATTTAGTGAGGGTACGGTCATGGTGTATAAGTCACTGCTGCGTCCAGTATTACCCCCGATGAGTTGTCTGTGAATCCCTTATGAACCGAACGCCATTTTGTTTTTGTATAGCATCATTTGCATTACGACCGATGGCTGGGTGATGATTATTATTATGATTATTGTGAAAATTAACCTTTGGACGGCAAATTTCGGTAATTATGTGAAGTAATTTTAATCTGATTCATTGTAGTTTTATTTCACCTTCCTGTTTTTCGACGCGATAAGAGGACGTGGTGGAAGTGTTCCCGTTCTGTCTTCAATTTACTTAAAAAATCAACACTGGCTGCCAGACGAAAGGCGTCTTAAACCTTTGAGCCTAGAAGTTTGCAAGTTCCTTATATAAGGCGATGAGCAATTAAGATGGGATTTTTTAAATTTTCTCCGTTTAAGCGAATGTTTCAATTTTTTTAAGTATAATCTTATCAGTACAGACTGAGATCCGTAACAATTATCAGTACTAAATTAAAGTGAAATCTTTTATCTATATATCCCACTGCTGGGCAAAGGCTTGCTCTGTACATAGTTCTACAGACGACCCCACTGCGGATTGGCGGACTTAATATGTTTTACTTTGGACATAATTATGATTTTATTATTATTTCCCAAATATGCAGGTTTCCTCACGATG